GCTCCCAGCATCTCTGGATAAATTGACAAAGGTAAAAAAAATGAGCTCTCGTTGCAAAGTTTTCTTTCCGCCAGTCCTTGAGTCCCAAATGGACACATGGATGCTATATTAGTTATAGAACTGTTGGCCAGTTACTTGGGCTTCTTATTGGCTAGCTCAGTCTTAATTATTAACCCATTTCTATTAATCTATGTATTTCCACATGGCCTTGGCTTACTGGAGAAGGGTCCGGACCTGCTCCTTTGGTGAGCTACACGGTATCTCCGTCTGCCTATGTTTCCCAGAATTCTCCTCATCTCCTAGTCCTGCCTATACTTCCTGCCTGGCAAATCAGCCAATCAGTGTTTTATTCATCAACCAATAAGGGAAACAGAAGGACATCTCCCATCAAACTGCATGATAAAGTTAATCAATTTCTAACATCTCAAAATACAATGAAGGACAACAATGAACTTGGCAATACAAACGACCTGGCTCTAGATGCATATAAACAATCTAAAGACTTCTTCCTTCCTTCCTTCCTTCCTTCCTTTCTTCCTTCCTTTTATTTATTTTTTTCAGGACAGGGTTTCTCTGTGTCACAGTTCTGGTAGTCCTGGAACTTGCTCTATAGCCCAAGCTGGCCTTGAACTCACAGAGATCTGCTTGCCTCTGCCTCCCAGAGATTACAGGCTTGCACCACCACTGCCTGGCAATCTAAAGGTTTCTAGGTGTTCCGGGAAGAGAATCTTCTCTCCAGCAGCCACAGAGTTCAAGTTGTGGAAAATCAAGCTAATGTCCTCATTATAAGGTTGGCTGAATACAGTGAAAATTCAAGACCCAGCCTCAGAGGGTGTCAGTGGTTAAAGTAAGGGCATTGATTGGTAAAAAAAAAATGGGGTCCTATAACTTGGGATGGGGATGTGTAGGAGGAACCCACAGGAGCTGAGAGCTTTGAGCCCTCAGATTCTCAAGGGTTTGTCTCACCAGAGGAAGTAGTCTCTCCACCCTCAGTAGATGTACTCACACCCTTGTGGGGTTCCACAGAGAAGAGCCCTTGGAAATGAACCCAGGGACAGTAGTGAGCCTTCCTCAGGGTCCATATTTAAGCAAGAAAAATCATATCCTGGCTGGAAAGTCTCCAAGGTTCCCTTCCCATGCTTGCAAACTAAGCAAATAGTTTCAAAAGCCAAAATGCGAGATTAGCAAAAATAATGAGGTCAGGATGACTATTGCAAAGAGCCCGCATCCTTGAGTTGTTTTTCTTCCCGGAATTGTTTTTCTTAGGCTCCCTTACAGTTACTGGCACTTTCCTCAGCAAGACAAGGTTCATCTGAGGTGCCAAAATGGAGTCACCATAGTCAACCTGCAGCCCTTGTCACAGTGGAAAGAGCATAAACTGGATCAGGCTGAGTTTGTTGATATGGGCCCTCTGAGTAGATATTTTAGATTTAATATGGAAACTTGCACAGTTTAAAAAGAAAACGATGGGGAATGTCCTTCTATATATATGTTTCTCTTATTTGTTGGTAAATAAAGCACTGCTTGTTCAGTATCCAGGAAGGAAGGATAGGCAGGGCTACCAGACCAGGAGAAGACTGAGGAGAGGAAGGGAGAGAGAGGCCACCAAAAAGAGATGGCATGCTGCCCAAGGAGTAACGTGCTGAATTACGGGTACGCCACAGCCTCATGGCAATACATAGATTAGTAGTTATGGGTTAATAACTGAGAGAACTAGCCAGTAAGAAGCCCTAGCCATCGGCCAATAGTTTATAAGTTAACATAAGTCTTTGAGTGTTTATTTTGGGTCAAAGTGGCTGTGGGACCAGGCGAGACAGAAACTTCCACCCAAAACAAAAGTATCAAAGGTTTGTTTGAAGGGTCGTCTGAAGCACTTGTCAAAAGATGTCCCACTGAAAAAGGATTTGGAGATGCCTGTTATCCCTTTGTCTTAGTGTTTTAAGCTCAGAGAAACTTCAAAGCTAGAGCGAGTACACTGTGTATAGCCTAATCCTCCACGATGAAGGCCCAGAAGACACACCCGCCACAAATCCTGTAAGACACAGAATGGCGAGAGGGGCACCAACATATGGGGAGAGTTTTGTTGTCTCCCTTTTCCTGATCCAACCTCAGAGTCAGAGATGCTGCTGCTCAGTTGGACGAATTAACTGCAGCGGGTTTAACTGGGCCTCGGAATAGCGGGGGCCAGGCGGCAGCAACGAATCGCCAAGGGCAAGGTGATTACCATAATGGGCAGCATGGACAAAACAGTGTCCATAATGCCTGGCCCATAATGGGCAACATGGGCAAAGTGTTTTTCATGGTAGCACAATCCATATGGGCTTTTGGTGATGGCTAGCCAATCATGATGTTACCAAGCATGAAATAGACAAGAAGACTCCAGCATTCTTACTTGATATGCCTAAGCAGAAAAATTCTCAAACAAACGAAAGAAAGGCCACATTGGATCATGGCAAAATATAGAAATTGGCCTGTGACGCCAGTTTCACGACTTGAGCCAGTTGACAGACCCAAACCTCTTGAATGAAGACAGTCAAATTCCCCCAAGGAAGGACCTTGATAAAACACCTAAATGTTTTGCTGCTAGCCTTTCCCTGGTCCTTCCCCAGAGGGACATAAGGCCTTTTACAAGGGTAGTGTACACAGAAGGAAAGGAAACAATCAGACTTTCTGGGGCCTACTGGATACTGGTTCTGAATTGACCCTGATTTCAGGAGACTCCAAGAAACATGTGACCCTCCGGTTAAAGTAGGGGTTTACGGGGGTTAGGTGATCAATGGAGTTTTGGCTGAAGTTTGACTCACAGTAGGTCCATTGGGTCCCTGAATTCATCCTATGGCTAATTCCCCCATCTCAGACTGGTAATTGGGATAGATATACTTAGAAGTTGACAGAATTCTCACAATGGTTCCCTGACCTGTGGAGCGAGTGCTATTATGGTAGGAAAGGCTAAATGGAAGCCTTTAGAATTGCCTCTTGTAGGGAAAATAATGGTTCAAAAATAGTACCTTATTCCCAGAGGAGTTGCAGAAATTAGAGGCACCATCAAGGACTTGAAAGATGCAGGGGTGATAGTCCCCACCACATCTCTCTTTAACTCTCCTATCTGTCCTGTACAGAAGACAGATGGACCTGGAGAATGACAGTTGACCATCGAAAACTCAGTCAAGTAGTGACTCCAGGTGCAGCTGCTGTACTAGTTGGGGTGTCCTTATCCGAGCATATTAACCCCTATCCTGGTACATGGTATGCAGCAGCTGTTGACCTGGAAAATGCCCTTTTCTAGGCACCTGACCATAAGGACCGCCAGAAGCAATTTGTTTTCAGTTAGCAAGGCCAGAAGTGAACCTTTACAGTTTAATCCAAGGATATATTAATTCTCCAGCCCTGTTCATTACATAGGAGGGATTTTGATCATCTGTCTCTTCTATAAAGTATCACATTGGTGTAGTATATTGATGACATTATGCTGATTGGACCAAGTGAACAGGAGGCAGTAACCACTTTGGAATCATTGGTATCCCCCCCCATATGCATACAAGAAGATGGGAAATAAATCCAACCAAAATTCAAGGGCCTTCTACCTCAGCGAAATTCTTAGGAGTCCAGCAGTGTGGGGCATGCAGAGATATTCTTGTCCTGTTTCCAGACCCACTTGGAGGCTGTGGGGCAAGAATCCATAGGGCAGGCCCAGCCCTGGGGTGTGCAGAAGACAACATGGGGTTCTGGAGACACTTGGCTATGGGCTCCTCTCCTTTGTGCTGCCCTCTTGGAGGGAAAGGGGTCTCTCGGTGGTCTGCGAGTCTCTGTGCTAGCCAGCTCCTTCCTACCGTTCTTCAGCACAACCATTATTCAGATCCCCAGTTGTAATGGTCAATATTGTCAATTTGACAGGATCTAGAATCTTCTGTGAAACAGCCCTTGAGCATGCCTGTGAGGGAGTCCTTGAGAGGCAAGACTCACCTACATATCCATGGCAGCATTCCATGGGCTGGGTCCCAGACCGAATGAAAAAGAGCAGGGGTGGTGAGCGCCATCGTTCATCTCTCTCTGCTTCCTGAGGGCGGGTGCAGTGTGACAGCTGCCTCATGCCCCACTGTCACCCCTTCCCCACCACAAGGAACTGTGTCCCTGTGAGCCAAATAAACCCTTCCTTCCCTCGGCTGATTTTGCTGCAGCTACGAGAAAAGTAGCAAATGCACTATCTCCCCTCCCTCACCAGGCCCTGGTCGTGTGGCTGGCTTCCTGCACATCTGTCTCTGCTGTGGTTCAGCACTCTATACCAAAGCGTCCATGTCCTGACCTGCAGGACGTTAACCTGGAGCAAGAGACCTAAGGACCAGGGATGGGGACAAGAGACATAAAAGAAAGGCCACAAGACAAGGATCTGATCATGTGGCCATTTTTATTTTTCTCGGGGCAGCTAATATACTTAGTAGAGCAGGAGAACGGGAGGGGGTGAGAGGATTGCTTTGTGCACCAGGTGTGCACGTAGCAGGGTATGGTTTAAGCACATAGAGCAGGATATTGGCAAGGTAAAAAGTTCAGGAAGGAGAGGAATGGGTGGGCTAACGGCCATTGCCTAGGTGATGGTTAGGGTTGGCTGAGTTTGGACAAGCTTTCAGGGTCATGGTGTTCCTATGTTCTACCTTTGTGGTTCCTCTTCTGAGTGCCCCCAGAAGGCTCCCTTGTTAAGGCTAAAGGCCAATTACGTAAATCTTTAGACTGTAGAAAGTACAGTTTGGCTCCAAAAGATCAGGGTACCTGAGGCGTTCCCAAACACATCCAGAATCTGGGCTTCCTGGGAGTGCTGGGTACCTTCCATCCACCCAAAACAGCCATTCCACCTGCTGGCAAGTCCTTCAGAAAGCCACTAGGCTCCTCCTGCCACCCCCCCCACCGTCCCTCAGCAGGAGTGTCCAGGACAGACTGCCTCCCAAACTATAATTTGAAGTAGCCTGCTGGGCTCCTATCCCAGCCATCACTGATGTTGAGGACTCAGCAGCGTGAAGTCCTCACAGGGCAATTCTACACTCACCACAGAGCACTGTCAGTGCTAACATCAGCCAGATCTGTCCAGCCAGCGTCTACCAGGGCAGGGACTCCTCCCGCAGACAGGCTGGGAGTCCCTGCTGCTCCTCTAGGGTCCTTCACCTCTGCTACTCAACAGCAGGGGGAGCATTTACCAGAATGTTCCAGGAAGTATAGACCTTGATCCAGGGGACTTGGATACCTGGGAGGAACCTGGGTTGCCAGCATAGAAGCAAAAACGAGGCTGATGATAGGACTTGGGGCAGTGGAAGCCAGGCCAAAGCGCGCCACAGACGAGGAGATGTCAATCGAGTGAGAGCACGCACAGATTGTCATTTTAACTTTTTATTTGGAGACGATTGGGATTCACATGCCATCATGAGAAGGAATTCAGGGTGGTCCCCAGTATTGCCCAGCCACCCCCATGGTAACCCTTGTCAACAACAAGCTCAAGTCCCAGAAGACACAGGTTGGTCATTCCAGCCCTGAAAGGCGATTGAGGGGTGAGTGTGTGCAATGAGTAAGAATGTGTGAATGTGTGTGCATGTACATACATGTGTACATATGTGAGTATGTTTGCTGGTGTGAACATGCATGTGCCTGTGAGCATGTATATATGTGAGTGAGCGTGTTATGTATGTATATATGAGCATGTTTGCCTGTGTGAATGTGTGTGCATGTGTGTGTTTGGTGCTGAGCATTCTATCCGTTGCGCAGAGCTGTGAACCCACGGCCTGTGTCCTTCAGTGACAGAACTGCTTAGCACTGCTGGGGCCACATTGCTGCCCTTTTATAGCCACGTTTGCTTCTCTCTCCTGACTCTCTGTCCTCTAATCTGTCCCCTTTCCTACAGTTTTGCCACTGTTCTTTTTCACGCTGACCCAAGCCCCCGGCTTGCTGCAGGCTGTCTGTCACCTGTTGCAGGCTGAGGTCACGAAGGAAGCTGCCGTGAGCACCTGTGCAGCGCCACCTGCGTGGGCACAGCTTTCACGTCTCTCTGTGCAGCGCCACCTGCGTGGGCACAGCTTTCACGTCTCTCTGTCACATGCCCAGTAGGGTCACTGTCAGCCCACAAACCACCATGGCTTCACTGCTGTCTCTTGTGTGTTCACCAATACGTGGACTAATCCCCTGGGGAGTCTAGTCCCAGAGCTGGTCAGACAGGGACTCAGTCCATCGGAAGACCACCAGGCCTTACAGGCTCCCTGTCTCCATGGGCTTGTGCCCTTTAAGAGGCGACTCTGGTGCCAGTCTCTGGGGTGCTCTGAGGGTGGTCTTTGCTACCATGGAGGCCACTCCCAAAAAAGGAACCCGAAGTGCCAAGTGCTATATCCCCATACAGGTGGCCTGTCTTCACGCTGAGACCAAAGGAGAGATTTTATTTGGCAAGAGTCTTCAGACATCAGGTGAGATTGGTTAGGATGCCTGGGTGGCTTAAATCTAACGGTGGAGGAGAAGGAGATGCAGTCACAGAAGGTCATGTGAAGACAGAGGCAGAGATTAGGGAGATGTGACCACAGGCCGGCATCAGGGTGCCCAGTGCTGGCTCCGCAATGCCTGGATCTCAGGTCTCTGGGCCGCAAGCTGCAAGACAGCAAACCCCCACGTTCTACGCTCTACTGCACACAGCTTCCACGGTAGCTCCGCAGGGCCAGGTTTCCTGCTCTACTCAGACACTCTACCTAAGGATCCACTACAACCTGATTCTGGGAGCGTGTCACACTGCCTTCTACAAAGAGCTGGCTTCTGCTGGACAGCCCAGGGACAGGCAGAGTGTGAGTGCATGCTGCTCATAGGCACTCTGGGGCAGACCTCCCCCAGCCTCTGACATCTTCTCTGCACTACCATGTACATGTACACTGTGATGCCATGTCTTGCGTTCAGATCAAAATCCACATACCAGAAGGCCTGACTAGTTCCTCAATGGGCCATCGTAGCACTTATCTGGGGAGACAAAAGGATGTCAGATGGCTTGCTGAGCCTCCCCTGACCCCCACCCCAATCCTCAAGTGTCTGTGCCAGGTAAACCAAGCTACAACGCTGTCTTCTCTGGATCCTTTCTGAGCCAGAGTAGGGAGCCTACCTTTGTTTATCAAGCTGATAATATTTTGTGAATCCAGACCATATTTTTTGCAGATCTTTACAAATCTTTTCAGGTAAGACCTGTCAAGCGCTGAGATGTATCCTGGGGACAGATTTGGGAGTTTGTGTTGGGGAGGGGTCCCAAGGCACCATTCCATTATGTGTCTAGGGCCCTTGGGAGACCCCCCACCAGTAGCTGGGATTCACAAGCAGACAGGGGCCAGGTTACCATAGAGCGCCAGCACATGGGTCTTAGTCCCATTCTTGATGTTCTCCATGTAGAAGGTGGCATACATCCTGTAGTCGGTCTCCAAGAGAAACACCTTGTTTTCCCCCTCATCTGCATAGAGATATGGCTCAGCAACCCTCTGCCTGGGCACTGGGGTACCCACCCTCACTTCTGGGATGAGTGCCATGTGACTTATGCAGTTTCTGTTAAGCAGGTATTGGAAGGAGTAGGAGTCTGGGTGCCAGGGCTGGCTCAGGAGGAGGCTGTGGTATGGAATGTGGGTAGCGGGGTGTCATGGTGCCTATCTATCTGCCTGAAGATGTGCCATTGTGTGCTGCCTCCAGGAGCCTCAACATAGGACTCTGCCTCCCTGGTAGTTCCAGGCTAGCGATATATCCAGAGAGAAGGCTGGGCTGAGGACCCTTGAGCTGCCCCTAGGTTGGGGTGCTCTTGCTTTAGGGTTGGGGTGAGCGCTCACCAGAGTGGGCAAAGCCTTAGCAGAAAAGATTCCTGGCTATCGGAGCAGGAAGGGCAGGGGTTCCACTTACAGGCAACAGTGAACTCCCCGTTATTCGCTGTCTTTTCACAAACCATGGCCACAGCTACACATTCTCCTTGCACCCTGGAAGACAGTGAGGGGAAGGGTTCAGAGCACGTACCGGTCCCTTCTTGTGGTCTGGGTCCTGGTGGAAGGTCCCTAAGCCCCCAAGCCTGGTACCTTGGCTTCCATATCCCCCCAGCTTTTCTCACCGGAAGGAGGACAGGACACAGCAACAGACCAGGGCGCCCCGATCCCATCATAATGATCCCCAACGGAAGAGCTGGTGACAGCTCACACGCTGGCCCAGGTGAGTGAGTGTATGAAGCATGGGAACAAAGCCTCCCCTAGTGTCCGCTGCAGGGGGAGGGGAGGGCGGCCACACGCACATGAAGAGGAAGTCAAACTTCAGGCTGCCGTTCTTTAAGAGATGGATGCTCCGCATGAAGATCCTCAGGTCTCCGTTTTCTTCAATGCGCGTCACGTTGTCCGAGGCCATAGAAACAGAGTACCAGTTCCCGGAAATCTGGAAGGAAAGGCTGAGTTGTGGGAGTCCTGGAATAGCACTGGGGCTGCTTGGCCCTCACGGCCACACTCCTGGGTGAGTCCCTGAACACTGACTCCATGCTGGGACCCCCTTTTGCCTTTCCAGCCCTCCCTCTGCCTCATTCCTCCCAGGGCTCCTCTGCATCCTCTGGCTGCCATCATGGCTGGGGCTGGGAGGGTCTCTCACGGCCCAGACACCCTTTTTCCAGGTCAAGTGTCCCACAGGAGAGGACAGGTGTTCTTCACGAAGCCTAGCCCAGCCCTAGAAGGCTTGGCCCACCCTGGCCATGTTGAAGTTCCTCTGCACGACCACTTCCTGGTTGAACTGTGCAGCGGCAAGGCTCAGCACCAGGCCCAGCACTGGCAGTACTACCATGCTCTCCGGTGGACACCTTGGCCTGAGTCTTATTCCCTTATGCCCATTTCTATTCTATGGTTGACAGCCTCTGTGGACAGCCTGTCCACACACATCCTGTGTCCTGTTGGAAGGTGGCCAAAGGCCTCCACTTAACTGTTCACATCCAAGAGCTGGTTGCAGAACCTGAGTTGATGTGTAACTGGGTCAGAAAGCGGCAGGGGAAGTTGGGACCAACAGCGTTTGTCCATCAGGTCCCTGGACCCAGGCCAGCCCTTGCTCTGTCTCTCCACGCTGGGGAGGAAGAACTCAGAGCCTAGGTATTCGAGTTCCATTTTCACACCCTGTCTGGCCTCAGTGTTCATGTGCGAGGGAGTCTGGCTTCTTACAAGCCATCTGCATGGCATGTAGTACAGGTCTGCAGCAGAGCCAGCTACCCCACCCAGTGGATGTCACTGAATGTAGGGTGTGACTCCGAAACTCCAGGAAAAGACCCGAGTGAGGCAGTGCTCACGAAGTCAGCCCCTGCGTGAGAGCTGAGGGGTCCTGAGACAGAACAATGTTCTGGAAGCACACAGATACAGGGTCAGATGTGTCCCCATCCTGGCTGGAGACTGGTCGTGGGAGGCGGCAGCGAGACGTGTCCTGGAAATGTCTGCACAGCTCTACAGGTGTGTTCCAGGACTCTGGCTCCCACTGCCTCCGGGAACAGGTGCGTTGGTGGCAGTGGAGGGGAGGCATTATTCCTTTGAAGAAATAAGGCTAAGCTTGGCAGCCAGGGCCGGAAGATCTCAGCCTCCGGGTAATGCAGACACCCACTGGCTGCCATTTCCCTACTTAGGTAGTTCTACCATTATCTGCCCTGGGCTGATGTGGTTCTGAGGTAGAGGAAGGGGGCCCAGATGTCCCTGGGCACCTGGCAGGTGTCGAGCATTACCAACCGCCGCTGAAACCACGTACAGTTAATGTCAATGATGAGTTCTCTGGCTTCCAAGCACCCTTTCTGTTGATCATTTTCCCATCAGTAGGGATGGGGCAGTATGACTCCAGTGCTGTCGACTCTCCCTTACTCCCCCAGCTGTTTTGAGCAAAAGAGCTGTCAGTCCAATAAATACATACATATATACATATACATACATACATATATACATACATACATACACACATACATATATACATACATACATACATACACACATACATATATACATACATATATACACACATACATATATACATACATACACACATACATATATACATACATACATATTCCACACTGTTGAGCCCTTTCTTGCTCTAGCTCCTGAGCTTCAGCCTAATTCAGGACTGTCCTACACTATTTGTCCTGGGCTTTTTCCTGTCCCCAGGCTTGAGGAACTCCAGGTGACTCCATGATTTTTTCTACTCAGGCCAGGGGTGGCCCACATGCTCTGGTGGCCTAGCAGAGGACCTGCTGTGAGCGGTAGAAAGAGCAACGCTGTGATTGGTGAAAACGCAAACCTTATTTGTACAAGTTTGCTATGACTGGAATGAAACGCCCCAAAATCTGGTTTGATGAGCTGTCTGACTCACAGCCTCCTTTTCTGCCTGCCCTGGTACTGCAGCATTGGGTCCAATAAAACCCTTCCTTGAGTGTGATTTTTTTGTTGTTACTGTTGTTTGTAAGTTTGTTTGAGACAAGGTTTCATGTAGCCAAAGATGACCATGATCATCTTGCCTCCATTTCCCAAGAGCAGGCATATGCCACCATGTTTAGTTTGACGGGCCATGCCTATATTCGGTGAGTTAGTTACACACACACACACACACACACACACACACACACACACACACACACACTCACGAAGCAGGACAGACAATGGAGCAGCGGTGGCACCAGAGGCCAAGCTGCAGAAGTGACAGAGCAGCCGGCTTCGTGACAGTGACAGACAGTGCTGCCGGGCGGTGGGCAGGCCAAGCCGCAAAACTAGCAGAGCCCCTGGCTGTACAGACATCTGCGAAGCAGCGGCATCGGTGAGTGGTGGCCAGCAGCAGCTGCTGCTTTTACTCAACAGCTGTGATAGCGGCCATAGCAACAGGAGGCCCTGAACTATTAGGGCCTTGGTTTGCGGGCACCGCCTCTTCTCCGTTTGCATAGCCATGCATGCTTATTGAGTGCCCAAGAGCCCATAAGCCACTCTGCAAGGCTCATGGCTCCCTGCAGCCGGCTCCCTTCAAAGCAAGCCTGGTTTTCTGTCAGGAGGGGGAGGGGGATACATTTCCTAGTCACACGGATCCCAGAGGGACTTTCAGAAAAAGGCAAGAATCCAGGCTTCAGGTGGATCTTTACTTTCCTAGGAGAAATGTCCAAACCTCCCTTCTAGGTAGCTCCAGCTGGGTCTTGGAGGTCCAGCTGTTGATGGGCACAGTGAAGGTTTTTGTGGTAGAGCATGGTGGTAAGGAGCATCTAAGTGAACCTTTCCCTTTGTGTGGTCACGGAGGTACCTTCATGGCCTCTGCCAGACTGCTCTAGTGAATCCCAGCTCATCTAACCCCAAGGAACACAGGCGTCCTGTGTCTATGTTAAGTTGAAAGCAGATAGAGGGCAGCCCAGAAGGTTGCATGAGTGATATGTATAGATCCTGAAAGTGCCAGGTAGGTGGTGTTGACACATGCCAGGCAATGGGTGATCTGTGTGAGACATTTACCCTCATTCTACAAAGTTCTCTTGCCCTGTTCCATGCAGACACAGCCGTGGTCCTTATCATCAAACACTTTTGAGAAACTCCCAGGACTTAAAGTCCTCAGGGCTCCATGTCAGCACAGCTGACATAAAATGATGCATGGCAGAACCAAGGGGATTTTGTCTAGGCAGGAGAGATTGTCGTGTGTGTGTGTGTGTGTGTGTGTGTGTGTGTGTGTGTGTGTGTGTGTGTGTGTGTGTGTGTGTCCACGGAGGCTGAATGAGGGTGTCAGATCCCCTGGAGCTGCAAGTCACAGGTGGTTGTGAACTCCTGACATGGGTGCTGGGAATTAGTCACATCCTCTGGAAGGGCAGCCAATGCTCTTAGGAGCTGAGAATCTCTCCAGCTCTGTATGATGCTTTCGTGTAATTCTTCCTCTAACAGTTGGAAACGGAAAACTATAACCATTTGTAAGATGCCAAAATGACATGAGTAAAATTCACCGAACACCCAAAGAAATACTTGGCATTGCTATTAGTGTTAGGAATGTTTGAAGTGAAGGACCTGCCTCCCAGGGGTCACTGGCAGTGCCCCCAAATCGATTACAGGAGGAAGACATAATGCTGCTGTAAGAGACAGAAAGACAGACTGTGACTAGACAGGGACAGATATGTCTAGAATTTTTTCTTCTAGGTGATTCTAGATCCTGTTAAGATGTCAGCATTGACCTTCACAAAGCCCTGAGGAGATTTTAGAGAGGGAGCTGTACCCATACAATTGGACAGCAGTGACTCAATGGGAACAACACTATAAGCAAATCTGTGCTCTAGACACGAGTCAAACACCTTCTAGTTGGCATCCTATGAGGCCGTGGCTCCCTGATGTTCTCTAAGAAATGGGGCAAACTTCTCTGTTACTATACTGAAACACCTAAGGCAGGCTAATTTCGTGAGGAAAGAAAAGTTTTGGTTCTGGAGAATTGAGATCAAAGAGTTATATCTGGGGATGGAGCATCTGCTGGCAGAGTCTCAAGGGACAGGAGGCAAGAGTGTGTTGTGTGCTGCTGAATGACAGAAATAAAGATTTAAAGGCTTCCCTAGAATCCAGTGACAATGAATGCACAACATACCCAAAGCCATGGGACACAAGGAAAGCAGTGCAGAAGAAAGGTCATCACATGGAGTGCCTGCATAAAGAAATTGGAGAGGCCTCATGCTAGCAACTTTACAGCACACCTGAAAGATCTAGAACAAAAAGAAGCAAGCATATCCAAGAGGAGTAGATGGCAGGAAATGATTCAATTCAAGGGTGAAATCAACAAAATAGAAACAGAGAGAACAATACAAGGAATCAATGAAACAAAGAGTTGATTCTAGGATAAAATCAACAGATAGACAAACCCTTATCCAAACTAAAAGGCAGAGAAAGAATATCCAAATTGACAAAATCAGAGACAAAGGGGTTGGATATAACAGATACTGAGGAAGTCCAAATTATCAAGTCATATTTTAAAAATCTGTACTCCAAAAAAACTGTACTCCACAAAGTTGGAAAAAATATAAAAGAAATGGAAAGTTTTATTGATAACAATCACTTACCAAAATCAGGTAAACATCTTAAATAGGCCTATAGCCCTAAGAAAATAGTACAAGTCATGAAAAGTCTCCCAACAAAAGAAAAACAGCAAAAATCCCCCCAAAAATAAAAACAAACAAACAAAACCCCCAAGAACAGGCAGTTTTAGTGCAAAATTCTACTAGACTTTCAAGGAATTAACTCTAATACTCCTCAAATTAATACACAAAATAGAAATAGAAGGAATATTTCCAAATTTATTTTATGAGTCCACAGTTACTTTGATACCCCAAACCACACAAAGATTCAAAAAAGAAAGAGAATTACAGACCAATTCTCTTATGAACATAAAAGCAAAATTACTCAAAATACCACAAACAGAACACAGGAACACATCAAAAATATCATCCACCATGATCAATAGGCTTCATCCTGGAGATGCAGGGATGGTTCAAAGTATGAAAATCAGTCAATGTAATTCACCATATAAACAACTGAAAGAAAACACATGATCATCTCATTAGATGCTGAAAATGCCTTTGACAAAATACAACGCCCCTTCATAATAAAAGCCTTGGAAGGATCAGAGATACAAATGACATACCTAAGCATAATAAAGGTAATTTAAAGCAAGGCTTTAGCTAACATCAAGTTAAACAGAGAGAAACTCAAAGCAATTCCACTAAAACTAGGAATAAGACAAGGGTGTCCACTCTCTCCATATCTATTCAATGTAGTACTTGAAGTTCTGGCTGGAGCAATAAGACAACTGGAGGAGATCAAGGGGACACAAATTAGAAAGGAAGATGTCAAAGTAATGTTATTTGTAGATGATATGATAGTGTACATAAGCAACCCTAAAAATTATCCCATGGAATCCCTTCAGCTGAAGAACACCTTTGTCACGCCCAACCTCGACCAGCAAGGAAGACGCAACGCCCAGACTCTTCTTTAAGCAGTTTATTCAGGAAACCTTGAAGAATCTTCTTTTCCCAGGGAGCGCCAGGGAGCCCCAACCCACAGCTTAAAAGCCCTTGGGCGGCCAACCCCAGTATGCCACGTGGAACATGCAGATAGGTCCATGTACGTAGAAGCAAGCCTGATATCCAGCCTTAACCAAATACAGGTGTTGTTTATCATAGAGAGCACCTGCTGTCGGGCTAGCAGAAGGCAGAAGCCAGCACCATCTTAAGGGTGAGGCACTTTGCAGCTCTCTACACACCTTCAGTGAAGTGGCTGGAAACAAGATTAACTAAAAAAAATAGTAACCCTCCTATATACAAATGGCAAAGGGGCTGAGAAAGAAATCAGTGAAACAACACCTTTAACAATAAGCATAGATAATATAAATGGTGTAACTAACCAAGCAAGTGAAAGACATGTATGACAAAAATCTTCAAGTCTTTGAAGAAGGAAATTAAAGATAACAGAAGATGGAAAGACATCCCATGCTCATGGATTGGTGGGATTAACAGTAAAACTGGACATCTTGCCAAAAACAATCTACAGATTTGATGCAATGCCCATCAAAATCCCAGCACAATTCTTTACAGACCTTGAAAGGACAACACACAATTTTATGTGGGAAAAAACCCCAGGAAACCTAAAGCAATCCTGAGCAATAAAAGACTTCCAGAGGTATCACTATCCCTGATTTCAAGCTGTACTACAGAGTTGTAGCAATAAAAAAATGCATGGTATTGATATAAAAACAGACAGGTTGATCAATGGAATCTAATCAAAGACACAGACATAAATCCACACACCCATGAACACCTTATTTTTGATAAAGGAGCCAGAAATACACAATGGAAAAAAAGAAAGCATCTTCAACATCTGATGCTGATCTGACTCAATGTCAGCATGTTGAAGGATACAAATAGATCCATATTTATCATCCTTCGAAAAACTCAAATACAAGTGGATCAAAGACCTCAATATAAACCCAGACACACTGAACCTGATAGTAGGGAATATCCTTGAATGCATTGACACAGGCGACAACTTTCAGAACAGAACGCCAATAGCGCAGGCACTATGATCAACAATTAGTAAATGGAACCTCATGAAACTGAAAAGCTTCTGTAAGGTAAAGGACACCATCAATAGGACAAAACATCAGCCTACAGGCTGGGAAAAGACTTTCACCAACTCTACATCTGATAGAGGACCGATATATGTATTTATATAAAGAACTCAAGAAACTAGACATCAATAAACCGAATAATCCAATTAAAAATGAGGTATAGATCTAAACAGAGAATTCTCAATAGAGGGTTCTCAAATGGTCAGAAAAACACTTGAAATGTTCAACATCCTTTGCCATTGAGGAATTGAAAATCAAAATTATTTTGAGAGTCAATCTTACACCATTCAGAATGGCTAGGATCAGCACTAGTGACAGCTTATGCTGGCAAGGGTGTGGAGCAAGGGAAACACTCCTGCATTGCTGGTGGGAGTGCCAACATACAGTCACTATAGAAATCAGTATGGCAGTTTCTCAGAAAACTGGGCTTTGATCTACCTGAAGACCCAGCTATACTACTCTTGGGCATATATCCAAAAAACATGCCATACCACCACCAGGACTTGCTCAACTATGTTTCTAGCAACTTTATAACAGCCAGAACAACCTAGATGTCCCCAAACTGAAGAATGGGTAAGGAAAATGTGGAAGCTTTACAAAATGGAGTACTACTTGTTGTTTGCTGTTGTTTTTAAGTGATACCGTGAGATTTTTCAGGCAAATAAATGGATGGAACTAGAAAAAACATCATCCTCCTGAGGCAGGCAACTCAGACCCAGAAAGATAAATGTGGTATGTGCTCCCTTATGAGTGGATATTAGCTGTTAAGTAAAGGATGACCACACTGCAATCCACAGACCCAGAGAGGCTAAGTAACTAGGAGTGATCCAGGGGAGATGCAGGGATTCCCCTGGGAAAGGGAAATAGAGTAAATTTTGTGGGTGGACTGGGGATGGATGGGGATGGGAACAGGAGGGATCAGGCAGGGGATGGAGGGATGGAGGGATGGAGGGAGAGATGACTGGAATTGGGGGGCTTTGGAGGGATGATGTGGAAGCCTAGAGCAGTGGAAACTTCCTGGAACCTATGAGGGTGATCCAAGTGAGAATTTATAGTAATGGAGGATATGAAGCCTGAACAGACCATCTTCTGTAACCAGGCATGACTTGGGGATTAAATTACAGTCTGAGTTTGGCAGATCACATTCCTTCCACAGCAGATAATAATCAGAAGTCTTAGCTGATAGGATGGTGTCAGTGCTGCTGGCTGTGGGACCTTAGGCATTGCTGTGGCTGGGACCTGGGGTGAGCAACCTGTGTAGGACGGTGTGGGCCTCAGCCATCTGTGTTAGAGGAGTGTCCAGGCTGAAGGAAGGGAGAGGGAGAGATGCTGGTTACATGAGGCAGTGAGGGTCAGATAGACAGGCATGGAAGCGCCAGCCTTCCTGAGGATGGAGTATTAAGAAAGCAGAATTCACCTGTTTCCTGACTTCAGACACAACAGACACATTGTGAAGAATGGAACCACCTCTAGGTGGAGACACACCCTGGCCCCCTTCCAAAAGTTTGATTAAGTGGGCAGATCAGTGACTTGGCTCAGGGGACCACCCCTAGGAATATGGGCTAGTCTTAGAATATAGTACCTTTCTTTCCCAAAATTCTTTCCTGCTAGGGACGGCTTACCATTCCACTCAGGAGAATGTGACTATTCTCTCTCTCTCTCTCTCTCTCTCTCTCTCTCTCTCTCTCTCTCTCTCTCTCTCTCCCTCCCTCCCTCTCTCCCTCTCTTCTTTCTGAGACGGGTTCCCTGTGTAGCCCTGGCTATCCTGTAATTAGTTCTGTAGATCCGGCTGGTCTTGAACTTAAAGAGATCTGCCTGCCTCTGCCTCCTAAGTGCTGGGATTAAAGACGTGTGCCACCACCACCTGACTTTTCTTCTCTCCTTTTCCTTTTGGATGCTGCTTGGAGCCTAAGGATGTGTTTAAACTGCTTAACTCACGCATTGGATGTCTTAGTCAGGGTTTCTATTGCTGTGAAGAGACACCATGACCATGGCAACTCTTCCAAGGAAAGCATTTAATGAGGTGACTCACTTAACAATTTAGGAGGTTCAGTCCACTATCATCATAGCAGGGAGCATGCCGTGTACACGCAGACACGGTACTGGCTACATCTTGATCAGAAGGCAACAGGAAATGGTCTCAGACATTGGGCAGTATCTTGAGCACAGGAAACCAAGCCCCCCCCATCCAGTGACACACTTCCTCCAACAAAGCCACACCTCCTAATAGTGCCACTTCCTATGAGCTTATGGGAGCCAATTACATTCAAACTACCTCATTGGGTTTCCTTATTTTCCAAGAGTAAAATGAACAAACAAATAAATGCAGGGTTATGTTATAACCACACATAGCTACTTGATGATAATGGGTGCATATGATGCCTAAATGATAACCTGTGCTCCTATCACTGGGCAAAGAACACATAAACAAAAGTCTGAGGAAGTGTAAGAAGGGCTTCACTCTTTCTTCATGAGCAGCGTCTACAGCAGGAGGGGGAGCGATGGAGGGCCCCTCTCTGTTTATGCAAGACACCAGCACACATGCTGCCCTAACCCTCCCTGCCAAGAAGTATCTGTCCTTGGAAGAAACGCCACAACAGAAGAAACAAAAGCAACAAAATAATCCAAGAAATTCTTTTGAGTTTCCAGTGGGACCAAGTCACGTCTACTGGTCATGAAGAGAAGCTTGCCAGGCGCCATTGTGATGCTGATGACATCACCATTAATAGAAGATTCACACACCACAAAAGCAGCGGATGCACTCGGGTACTTCATATGGCAACGTCCTGGAGATATACTCCCTGGGAAACACTAGTCCTGAAGGGACGTGTTGGCTGTCTCCTAACCCTGATCTGAGGTAAGGGGCCTTTGGCACTCTGAGCAGTTGTGTCTGGGAGCCGGGCTCAACGGTGCACACCTGCAATCCCAGCATTTGGGAGGCTGAGGCAGGATGATTGCTGTGAGTTCAAGGCCAGTCTGGGCAACAGAATGAGACCCTGTCTCAACAAACAAAACAAAATATTGTGTATAGACAGCATCCTCTGACCTTGGCCTTGAGGCTGCTGGTGCCTCAAGGTTCACTGGGAAACAGCTGGGGACAGAGCAGCTAGCTGGATGGATCACAGCTTGCCTGTCCATGTATTCCCGATAGTAGTGAGCTTAAAGATGTCAATTTTCAAACTGAAAGGGTATTTCTGAGCAGGGTAACGTTTCACGGAGAATTGCCCAGTAGAGTCAGAATGTGAGCCATCTGTGATGTCCCATTCCCCAGTACCTATGTGACAAAGGGCAAAAGAGACAGGTGAATTTATTTTATACATTTGTTTTATGAGTTTCTACATCTGGACTACAACACCCAGATTGTCATCACATCAGTGAGTAAGCAATATAAGATTACAAAGGAGACCCTTAACCTTCTGTGTTTTCACGCTGTGCTTGTCTTCCAAAGTGAGTGTGTTCTGTGTGCCAAGAGCCCAGTTCAAGTCAGGGCCAGCCACACCCTTGCCCAACCCCTCTCTCAGCAGCAGGTCATCAGAGCCCTCCACCGAACTCGGGCATGCTGCCATTTGGCTTGTTAGACACAGTGTTCAAACAGATCCATGGGAAACCTCCAAGCTAGGCTGCATGACAACTGGATCTCAGATTAAGCTTTGGACCCTCCTGCCTTGCTGTAACCACTGCTCCTCTTTGCAGTCCCTGCATAAATGGCACAAGTTGGTCTGTCTCACCATGCCTGCTAGAGAGGAAATGACAAGATCAACTTTGAGGGCAGAATTTATTGGCTCAGTTTAGGTTGATCTCATCATCATGATCCCACCCCATTGACTCAAAAACACGATAGGGATTCATGGCAGTTATTTCATCGGAGCAAGATGGACTTGCAGGCTGGGGAGACAGGCGGTTGGTGTGCAAGCATAAGAAGCCATGTAAAATCTGGATGTGGCATGTGGCTGGAGCCCCAGCACTAAGGGGGCTGAAACAGGAGGATTCTCTAGCTTTCTGGCCAGTTGGCTTAGGTGAAGTGAAAATTTCAGGCTCAGAGAGACCCTGCCTCAAAAAATAAGGTGGAGAGCAATTGAAGACACCCAACATCAGCCTCTTTGCCAATGACACCACACACACACACACACACACACACACACACACACCAATGTACTTGCTTCTCTAGGAAACACAAGGAGAGCCAGCACATTCCAAATCTTTGAGGATTTCTAAGGCACTTCAAGCAGACTAGAGATAACCTTAAACCCTCTTACTGAATGTTCTAGAAGGAACTGTTGAGTTAGTGTCCAAATGTGAGCAGACACTAACCCACCGTTGGGGGTGTTGGGATGCAGTGTGTCTGCTTAACCCACACTTAGAACCTCCTTTTCCTTCCCTCCTCCAGGAAGGAATGCGTGCTAAAAGGAGAATGCTAATGTTGCTTTCCTGCCTCTTCCTGCTGCTGATGGCTAAGATCTACTTCAGGTAAATACTGATGAACCACACAGCTTGCAGGAAAGCCAATGCTGAATCTCATCCAAAGATGCCATTAACACACCAGTGAACCAGAAGTAGTTGGAAGTTTCTCTCTGTCTCACCTGGTCTCACTGGACAGGTTTCTCTCCTGACTGCTGGTTGACGCAGCCACTTAATGAAGTAATCACTCAAAAGCTAATATTAAATATATAATTGCTTGGCCAATGGCTCAGGCTTATTACTGGCTAGCTCTCACAATTAAATGAACTCATATTTTCTGCAGGTTTACCAGTAATGTTCTGGCATCTTATTTCTATGACAGTTACACGGTGTTTCACTGACTCCATCTTCTTTCTATCTCTGTATTTCCCACCAAGCTATATTCTGTCCTGTCATAGGACGAAACAGCTTTATTCATCAACCAATAAAATCAGCACATATTTGTAGCTTATAGAAGGACATCCTGCATCACCAGAAGTTTCTTTCTTGGGGAAGCTGTGCCCATTTTAATTCTCTCATTTTCAGATGCCAGGTGGACACTTGTTGAGTTTCTTGTCCCAGGCTGCATTCCAGATGCTGGGAAATAGCAGAACTGCTTACAGGGGGTAATTCTATGCTATAGAATTTCATATGTTACATGACAATGTCATGAAAATGGAGTCTGGCCGAGGAGGGTGCTCAGTTATTACTGTTGTTGTTGTACTGGGCATAGAACAGGGCCTGGAGCATGCCAGGCAAGTGCTTAGCCATCAGGCCAAAACTGGAATGTAATTATAACAATTATAAACCACTTCAAAGTTCCAAATTTGTGTCTTTTTTATTTTATTTAATTCTTTTTTAGTTTGTTTTTGGTTTTTCAAGACAGGGATTTTCTGTGTCACAGCTCTGATTGTACTGGAACTCACTTTGTAGACTTTGTAGTTGAGGTTGGCCTCAAACTCACAGAGATTCACCTGTTTCTGCCTCCAAAATGCTGGGATTAAAGGTGAAAATTTTGTGCCTTATATAGACAAGACTATTACCTGCTAGAGTAATATCTGTTAATCTGCCAACATTGTTTTCCTAGAAACTTTTAACTCCTGTCTCCTCTATACATCTTCCTGAATCTATTTATGTAATACAGTGTTTCTGAGTGCCACTGGAAAAGTAGCCATAGCCAAGAATAGAATGAATGTCTTTAGTCCCAGCTCTTGGGAGGCAAAGGCAGGTGGATCTCTGTGAGTTGGAGGCTAGCCTGAGCTAGCCTCTCTCTCTCTCTCTCTCTCTCTCTCTCTCTCTCTCTCTCTCTCTCTCTCTCTCTCTCTCTCTCTCTCTCTCTCTCTCCCCCCCCCCCGTGTGTGTGTGTGTGTGTGTATGTGTGTGTGTGTGTATGTGTGTGTGTGTGTGTGTGTGTGTGTGTGTTGAGACAGGGTTTCTTTGTGTAGCCTTGGCTGTCCTAGAAGTAGCTCTGCAGACCAGGCTGGGCTCACAGAGATCCACTTGCTTCTGACTCTGAAGTGCTGAGACTAAAGGCGTGTGCCACCACCACCTGGCAAGACCCTGTCTCAAAAAAGAAAAAAGAAAGAATACCTTTAAAAATTTTTAAATCCTCTCCCTAGCCCCATGTATTGTTGGTCTTTGTTTGTGCATGTTTTGTGATAAAATGAGCATTTTATTTCTTTCCAATCAGGTTGCTGTATTTTGGGTGTAAATCCTTTACTGTGTGTATGTACTGGAGAGCTGGTGTATTTAGGGAACAGAAACAGAAGCTACAGAGTCACACTTCTGGTAGACTGCAGATCAGGTTCACTGAAAGTGTGTCCCATAAAACAATCAAAACAGACATTTAACATATGCACTGCCTACTTTTTATTTATTTTCATTTTATGTGTTTTCACTGCATGTGTATATGTATACCACATGTGTGTCTGGTCCCAGAAGAGTGAGAAGAGGGTCTCAGGTCCCCTGGAACCGGAGTTAGAGATCATGTGAGTGCTGAGATTGAGACCATGTCCTCAGGAAGAACAGTCAGCTCTGTTAACTGCTGAGCCCTCTCTCCAGCCTCCATCCACGGTGTTTCTCAAAGCAACATTCTGTGGTGTCCTGTATTTTCTCTGGCAAACCCTCTCCTCAGAAAACATGCCCTCTCAAGGCATCACTCTTCACTGTGTGAACGTTCTGTAAACGGGAGGACAAAAGTGTCAGGGACAGAGGGTCTTAAGGTGACAGAGGCTGGGGGAAGAAAAATAAACAAGCCTCCCTATGTGTAGGTCAGCAGGCCCATAGTGTGTATGTGAATGTGTGTGAACATGCACTCATGTGTGTATGGGTGTACCAATGTGTGCACACGCACCCGTGTGTGTGTGTGTGTGTGTGTGTGTGTGTGTGTGTGTGTGTGTGTGTGGTGCAAGGTTTCTGAAGAGACAGAACATGAGGTGGTAGTGCTTACTCCTTGGCTCTTGGGGTAGGACTGTATGAGGAAAAGCCCCTTCCTCCCGGCAGGTTGACTTTTTGGAACAGGGGCAATGCCTCCTAGAGTGGACTTGGGGCCAGGAGGAGAGGCTTATCTGTTTGGGGGAGGGTTTAGTGTGTGGTTCCCATCCCCTGGAGTCTCCAGGTCAGAGAGCCCACCTACCCGGTCAGTAGGTGTTGAGTGTGCTCTTGTTGGGTGTGTAACAGACTGGGAATGTGATCCTGGCTGGATCTAAAGAAGGTGGCTGGGTATGTTTTGTGTTGGTAAACCTCTGCGGAGAAGAAGATCCAGAAACTCAAGCCATGGCTGGTCATTGACTTAGCACCAGCAGGGGCTCCCCAAGACCAGGGCATGACAGTCACTGCTGGAGTGTCTCTGTGGGGAACAGGCTCTTTAGGCCAGGCTGCTCTTTAGCCAGCCATGGTTTCTGTCCTAAATCTAGAAATTAACAGGATCAACACACTGAAACACAGTGGCTTTTTACATTTGTTTTAATTATTTTTAGCTCAATGTATGTGTGCATGACTGTATGTGGATATGTGCATGGGTGGGCAGATGCCCTGTGGCTCTGGTCGTGGATGCCCTGAAGTCACAGACAACTGCAAGTTACCTGGCATGGGTTCCAGGAACTGAACTCAGGTCTAGAAGACCAAGTGCTCTTAACCACTGAGCCATTTCTGCAGGCACCCCAACTTGATGATTTTTAGCAAGTTCCCCACTTGTCATGTGTTGTCTGATGAGGGGCCTTGGAATTTTATCAGTCTGTCTTAGGAGGCAGTCAGTTTGGTGATGGGATGTCTGTGCAAGGCCATGTCAGATCTCAACAGAAAATGATGAGCTCTGGAGGTCAGGTCTGTCACAGAACACCCCAGGTGGCACACCAGAAGCTGCCAGGCAGGCGATTAAACTAAACAGTGTGGTGGTTTGAATGAAAGTGGCCCCAAAGGCCCATAGGGAGTGGCATTATTAGAGGTGTGGTCATGTCGGAGGAAGAAGTGTGTCACTTATGGTGGCTTTTGGGGTTTCAAAGCCCAAGCCAGGCTCAGAGGCTCTCTCTTCCTGCTGCCTGCTGATCTGGATATAGAACTCTCAGCTACCTTTTCAGAACCATGTCTGCCAGCATGCCACCATGCTTCCCACCAGGACGATAATGAACCTCTGAACTGTAAGTCAGTCCCAATTATATATTTTCCTTTATAAGAGTTGCAGTGGTCCTGGTGTCTCTCCGGAGCAATAAAACCCTAACTAAGACCATGAGTGACGGCACTGACTCATCATCTGTGATGGGAAAGTGCTCTTGGACAGTCCTTCTTTTTTCCACTGTTGGTCCAGACTCAGGAAGGCCCAGAATCCTTTCTTACTTCATAACATGGCAAGCTGAGTGTGGGTGACTTTGCTCAGTTGAAGGCATCTGACTGTTCTGAGGTCATTGAAAGTGGGCTTAGTTAAGCTGCTGGCATCAGGTTAAGCTGCTTTTCAAACAGCTGCTACCTCCACTCACGGTGTGCTTGTCTGGGAGTTACCCCACAGTAAGCTACAAACACTTAAAGATCAAGGCATGGGAGGGGGTAGTGGATACTTTGCATCCTAGAGCTCTGGGGCAGAGGCAAGGCCTTTCCGTGGTCTATATAGTGAGTTCCAGGTCAGTCAGGACTGCATGGTATCACCCTGTGTCGTAGAAAAAGGGGGTGGGAATCAAAGGTGAATGCGTGGGCTCCTGACCTCTTCACATCATGTGGATAGCTGTTTTTTGAGTTGACATTCTCGAGTAACCCTTTCCTCCTCCCACCAACCTACCTTTTTCTTCAATCTGCTGCTGTTTGTGGCCTCTGCCCCAATTCACCTGCTCTGTTCCCTAAGCCAGCTTGTCCCCCTCCAGACCAGGAGACACCTCCTCTCCCAGCTACTTCCTCGGCACCAAACTGTGTCCCCGGAGCTCTATCACCAGCCTGTCCCAAAGCCACTGAAAGCTGAGGCTAGGCAGCGAGGACAGGGACAGAGCCAGGGAGCTGAGGCGGCCTTGTGAGGGCTCAGTGAGGGCTCAGTGGGCAAGCTCTGAGTGAGCAGATGCCCCAGTAACCTGCTGCTCTTTGTACCAGGGGCCTCCAGGAAGAAGAACTTCAGCTCTCAGACTGGTTTAACCCCAGGTAAGAGCAAAGACAAAAGCATGTGTCATTTGGGGGTGACAGTTTCGGCACAGCCACAACTCTGCTAGGGTGCCTTGAGTTAGGAGTTTGTTTCTACCATTTTGACAAAAGCCCAGAGGAGCTCCCCCGAGACAGGAAGTACCAATGCTGCGGAGGAAGCTGGTGTCTTGGCCTGGATTCACGGTTAGCCTTCCTGCTTCTTCAGGGGAAGAGATATGAGGCAGGTTCTTGCTCCTGCCTCTGTGGGACAGCCATGCCTGAGAGGACAGTGTTTCGAAGAGCAAGGGTGTGTTCACTGGCATTGGTGTGTGGAGATGGAGAGCCAGTCTCAAATCTTCCTCCTCATGGTGCTGGTAGCTGATGGTGGAGAGGAAGTCGTAAGGTCATGAGACAGCTGGTGTCTGAACACACATGACCAACCGTATCACCTTGACTACATGTCTACAGCTCTGTCACTGGTGGCTTAAACTCAGCCAACAGGAGCTGACAGTGGGGGAAACAGTCAGGTCTGAGGCTTATCCAGGTTTCCCTCAGGTTCACCTGGAAGCGATAGGAAAAGGCTATGACCGGCCTTTCTAGCATCCTCTGCCCTTGCAGAGTCAGGAAGATGCATGGGCATGAAATCAGGCCCATTATTGGTGTGGACACCTCCCGTGACGAAATGACCTCTTCTCCACCTGTGAGTGTCTTTCTTTTCCTTTTCTTCTTTGTGTGTCTGTAGAGGTGTTCACATCGGGAGCCTTCCTTGATCACTCCCTACCTTGGTTTTTGAGATGGGTCTTCCACTGACCCTTGAGTTCACTGACTGCCTAGACTGGCTGGCCAGTAAGCTAGAGGGATCCAGCTGTTGCTGCCTCCCAGGGCTTAGGATGTATAGACAAGTGACACCACACTCATTGCTGCTGTTTGATTTACATTTGTGTGTGTGTGTGTGTGTGTTCACATGCATATATGTGCTGTGGCACGTATGTAGAGGTCGGGGGACAACACGCAGTAGTCAGTTCCCTTCTTCCACTGTGTAGCTCCTGGGGATCAAATCCAGGTCATCGGGTTTTACAGCAAGCACCTGTACCCTCCTGCTGGTCCCACATCTACTGATTTTTTCCTTTTTTTATATCATTTTTATTTTAATTTTAAATAGCTTGTTTTACATGTCAATCCCAGTTCCCTCTCCCTCCCCTCCTTCCGCACTCCCCTTCCCCCCCAGCCTCCCACCCTGTTGCCAATTCCTTCCACATAGGGGATATCTAGAGTCTGTCATTTCACTCCGGGTAGGGTCCAGGCATTCCCCTAAGAGTCCAGGCTGAGAGAGCATCCCTCTTTGTGCTATGGGCACACAATGACTGTTTGTATTCCAGGGATAGACACTGATCCACTGCTCAAGGCCCCATAGGTTGCCCAGGCCTTCTCACTGACACTCACATTGGGGGGGGTCCAGATCAGTTCCATGCTGGCCTCCCCGCTGTCAGTCTGGGGTCCAAGAGCTCTCCCCTGTTCAGATCAGCTGTCTCTGCTGGTTTTGCCAGCCCATTCTTTGCCAATTTGCTCATCACTCCTCTCTCTCTGCCACTGGGTTCCTTGGGTTCAGTTCAGTGTTTAACTGTGTGTTTGCCTCTGCTTCCATCAGCCACTGGATAAAGGCTCCCAGATGGTTATAGGCATCAAGTTCACTATCAGGAATGGGCATTCGAGGTGGTCTCTCCACTATTACTTAGCTTGCCAATTGGTGTTATCCCTTTAGATCACTCGAGGTCACTCTGGTGCCTGATCCATCTTCTAACCTATGATTCCCTCTTCCCCCTGTTCTACCCCCACCCACTCAACTTCCTGTTCCCCCATGACCTACTCTGTCTTTCTCTTCTCCCCCTCTCTTCTTCCCAGCTCCCACTCCCCCCCAACCCTCACCGTGTTCCCCATCCATTCAGAGGATCTAACGTAGATATCGGGAACTGAACTTGGGTTGTTGGTTGTTGGCAGTCATTTTATTGACAGCCATTTCCTTAGGATTACGTGTGTGTCGCGTGCTCTGTGTTCAGCATCTTGTTAACAACTCCCCCCGATGGGTGATGGTTCTCGATTGGCACTTCATGAGCAAGGTGAAGGATGCTGAATGGAATTTGTACAGTGATGTGTGTTTATCTGCAGGACGAACTTCTAAAATGGGAATCTTTACATCGGACACTATGGCGTTTAAAACTTGGTATAAAGTTGCTATTTCCCTTTAATAACTGCAACGTGACTCTTATTCTTGGTGAAACAGTCTGTTAAACTCTCTCAATGCAATCTGTGTCTCCACGGTTGTTATGGGAACACATTTTAGCTATTGTTCATTTTTTGTGATGCACAGTTAGGTTACCCTCATCCACTGCCGTGGCAGCTCCTGGATCATCCCACACAACTCCAGCCCTCACCCACTGCCGTGGCAGCTCCTGGATCATCCCACACAACTCCAGCCCTCATCCACTGCCGTGGCAGCTCCTGGATCATCCCACACAACTCCAGCCCTCACCCACTGCCGTGGCAGCTCCTGGATCATCCCACACAACTCCAGCCCTCACCCACTGCCGTGGCAGCTCCTGGATCATCCCACACAACTCCACTCATATCATTTGTTAGTGTGTGTGCATGTGTTCATGTGTGTGCTGGCATACATGTGTATAGGGGCTGGAGGACAACCTTGAGTGTTGCTCCCCAAGAGATGTTGCTCCCAGAGCCCAGAGCCTGTTGATTTGACTAGACTTCCTGGATTTCAAGCTCCTCCTGGCTCTACCTTCCTTAATCTAGGACTAACAAGCGTGAACAACTGGGCTTTGCATGAGTACTGGAGGTTGAACTCTGGTCCTCATGCTTCCAAGACTGGTGCTTTACCCTGAAACCAGATCACCAGCCCCTAATTTGCTTTAAAAAAATGAGCCAGGTGGTGGCCGCCCACACCTTTAATCTCAGCACTCCGGAGGCAGAGGCAGGTGTATCTCTGAGTTCAAGGCCAGCCTGGTCTAAAGAGTGAGTTCCAGGACAGCCAGGGCTACACAGAGAAACCTTGTCCCGAAACAAACAAACAAATAAGACAACAACAAAATGAAATAAAAACTACAATTTCCTATCACTGTGTCTGGCTTTGTGCCCTTCCTGTTCCCTTGATCTGCCCTCACCTCTAACACAATCACCATCCTGAGTCCCGAAGGTCAATCATGTGACCCTGGTTGATCAGACTTTGATTTCTCTTTTTATGTAAATTTAATCTCATAACCAGAATATGGGTGCATATTCTGGAAAAGCCCATTTTAGTGGTTTGTAGCTTTAGAAAGAGGTACACCATTCCTGTGATATTCTGGACTCCTTGCCCAAAACCATGTTAAGGTTCAGCAAATTTTCTAGTCGCTGTAATAGACTTTGTTGCCTGTGTGACTGCCCAGTGTTGCATCAGGCAGCCTATTGGCTTGCCATTCTGCTCATGGCCCTGAGTGATTCTGCTGTTGGGAACAATGCTGCTGTGTCCCCCCCACCTGCCTTCTGGATAGAGTGTTGAGTAAAACTGGAACCAAGGAGACGGTACAGGTGTCGGGCCACTCTGGCTGTCATAGCTGGGTGGTTTAGGCAGAGGGAATTCTCTTTCCACTGAGAGCTTAGTCTATGGCCGGGCAACAGCACAGTCAGGATCCAGGGAAGCCTCCTCCTGACTTGCAGACAGCTCCCACACTGTCCTGGTGTGGCCAAGACAGGAAGCAGGACAAACCTTATCTGTCTCTTTTGACAACGACACAAAACCCAACCTCATAAGCCAATGACTCACAAGGCCTCACTTCCAAATACCATCACATACAAGGATTAGGGCTTTGACATGCAATGTTGAGGGATACAGTTTCTATGGATACAGTCTCCCAAGGCAGTACCCTATATAAATCCCCAAAGAACTCTGCTCTTTTCCACTTGCCAGTATCACAGGCATGAAAACTATCTTTTGAGTGATGTCAGCAGAGATGACAGAGTAAGCCTCTCTCTCCTCCTCCTCCACATAAACCAGTGAGAAAAATGGAAGAACAGACTGCTTTCCTGAGCCTATGGGAGGACAGTGATGTTTGGGGTATTTAATTAATGCCCTGGTCCCGGTGCTGAGCTCCTGCTCCATGATGGACGACAGCAGTCTTCACATGGAAGGGAGGACAGGAAGGATGACACCCTTCAAAGCCTCAAGCACAGAGAACCCACAGGCATTGGTTTCACCACTACCAAAGGCAGGGCAGTGAAGCAAATAAGAGATTGAGCAAAGGATTCAAGAAGGATGTCGGCCTGGAACTATCCATGAGGGCTTTGGAAAGTTTGGCAAATATCTGACACTTGGGATGGGAAGCCATGCTTGTGGAGGGCTGTGAGTTCAGAAAAGACCTTGAGAAATTTCTGAGCCCCCACTTCCGGCTGACGTGGGCTCTGTGCAAGCAGGTCGTTCAAGTTAAGGTCGAGTGTCACTGCCTGCAGCCTGGCTGTGTGACAATGGCACTCCTCAACTTGTACGCAGGGCCTCCTAGCAGAATGGATAATTTACTGATCCCTAGCATTTATGGAAAATTGTCCCATCAGCTGTGAGCTATTAAGCTAACTGGCAAGCAAACATAACAAAAGAAAAAAATACCCAGATTGCTACAGACTGCAGAATTATGCAGTGAGAGTTCAGAGCATACATCAGGGGTCAACGCATCAGAGATTACCTCTTAAAGGACATTTAGCAAGAGGATGAGGAATATTGTCACCAGAGATACATATCTCAACCTTATCTGCAAGATGATGGGTACATTGCCTTCTGAATGTGTCAGATGTCCCTGTTGCAGATTCTGTGTGGAGAGTTCTTTCCCTCACGTTACAGCTTGGGGATTCTTCCCACAGCACTACAGTGTATTAATCAATTACTGGGCACATTTGCCCCTATGTATTGGTGTATTCGATGCCTCCCCGCAGCTATGTGTGATTCTGGCAAGAAAGTAATCATAGCCAACCCCGTTGCTCTCTCAACCAGGTCTTTGTATAAACTTAGAAGTCTGCCCCCTCTGCAATAATCCTCCTTGGCAGAGTTGGTCAGTGTTAGTGTCCAGGGAAAAGAGACCTCAATTGAGACATTCACAGATGCCCAAGGACAAGAATTATGGCATGTCTAAAGTTGTTGAGCCATAGCTCTCAGAGAGATAGAGAGCAACAGTGTCTCGGAGTCTCTCTGCCAGCAGATAGGAAAGTGCTGTCCCAAGCTGACCTCACATTAACCATAAAGCACGCCTGTTCTTCATTAGTCAATTGACAACAGACCTGTGTCTTAAAGTTGCCACTGGGCCCTGTGCCCTCCCTCTCTGGTCATGGTTTTGCTCCTTATCGCTTCCTCTAGGAATGTGCTCTTGACCAATGAGAGAAACTTTCTTTTTTAAAATCACTTTGAGGAAGATATTTCAGGATAGAAGGAGCTAGAAGTAAAAGAATGGAGAGGTTAGAAGCAGGACAGGATTACTAGAGTAGAAACAGAACACGGACGAGCACATGGAATAAAGCGCACGACCCTCAGGTTGTGTGTGAAGTTACTGCAGAAATCTTTGACCCCCCCCCTTTTACTCCTGAGAAGCGTTTCACCTGTGGGGCCCCGGGCAGAGGCTGGAGCAGGGCTCGTAGCCCATATACCAGACGGGAAGCAAAGCCTGATCTTTTGAGTTGCCACATTGACATCTAAATTACTCAATTAAAAAAAAAGTAAAACATCCAAAGAAAGAACCCTGTTGATCCTTATAGGGAGGAGGGGAAGAATCAGTAGAAACTATCCCCAGAGAAGATCGACTTTGGATTGACCAGTTTGAATCAATTCCCGTATGGAGCAGAGCAAAAGAAAGTGTGAGAACAAAGTCTACCCAAAAGTGAACAACAAAAAGGATATAGACGTCCTTACACAAAACAAAGCTAGAGCCGAAAGAACGCTAAGTGAAATGACTAATCCACAGAGGACCTCAGCAGCAGGTGCCAGCAGACGGGAGAACCAGTGATCTCAGACACTCGGTGGACAAAATCAACCCATACAAAATCAGTGTATTGGTAGAATAATAAAAAAAAACCCACTTGATCATCTTAATATATGCAGAAAAAGCATTTGGTAAAATCCAACACTCTTTAATACAAACATCCAGTGCTCTAGGAGGGGAGGAATCTTCTTAGCCTGGTACAAACAAGGAAATACAGATAACTTGGACTGAATTGGAACTGAAAACATTGCAGACTGTATGAAGAAGAGAAGCCAGGGCTACACAGAGAAACCCTGCCAAGAAAAACGAAACAAAGTGAAAGGACAATAGGAAAAATGTTTTCAAGTTGCACGTCTGATAAAAAGTCAGTATTCTGAATTGGCAAACAGCTCTTACTATTAAATAACAAAGAGCAGTAAAAATGGGCCATTTTTCAAGGGAGATATGCTAGCACCCAAGGAAGATTTGGAACACACTTTAACAACCTTAGTCATCAGGAGAATGCAAATCAAAACCACATCGAGTTACCACTTCACATCCAGCAACATGGGTAGAGTAAATGATAGATACACTATAAAAGCTAGACAATAGAAAGCATTAGGACATAGAGAAATTGAGCTTCAGGTCCAACTGTGGCATTGTGAAATCACTTGTTCCCAATAGGACACAGCGATTCCACCTAGAGGAATGGCCATGGCTTCCACCATCGTGTTGAAGAGCAGTGTGAGGGACATCCTTATCATCTTCTTGATTTTAGGGAGGAAGAAGTCAGCCTTTCACTATCAAACACATCAGCTGTAGAACTTTCATAGATTTTTTTTAGACAGGGTTCTTGTTATGTAGTCTTGTCTAGCCTGAAAGCATGCTATGTAGTAGACCAGGCTACCCTCAAACTCATAGAGATCCATTTTCCTTGTCTCCCAAAATTAAAGTTGTACACCACCACACCCATGGGTGTTAGTGCTCAGACGTCTGTATTGGCCTGTCCTTGGGTTTCTGAGAGGATACACAATCAGTTGCTGCTCCTGTCTCTGGAGGCTGGTCTCCCCTTTCCATTTCCCCCTTTTATGATCCCTTTCCCTAATAAAAACCCCCTCTGCTTGAACCAGAAAATGCAGAGCCAGAAAAGGAGCAGGGATGAAGAGGCGGGGAAGCCAGGATCCTGCCTACAGTGCTGACTTCAGGCAAAACCAAGACTATGGCAGGGCTCTGACCCCGGGCTGCCTATTATTTTAATTGGCTAAACTGTAGCCAGCTCTCGAGATGAATGGTCTCAGGCTTGGAGGGAGAACGCAGAGTCTGAGGCTAGACTGGCTGGGGACACTGTGGCTCTGCCCGCTCAGCCACTTGCCAGCTGTGTGCCGGCGTGAGGAACAAGAAGAAAACTAGAGCATTTCCAGGGTCACACGAGAGAACTAGAGTCCGCTGGTTGGCGTCTAGCCGGCGCCATCTCAGGGTTAACATCTGCCATTGGGTGCCCATCGATGCTGCCATTCAGTGACACCCAACACGTGGCTGTTCTTTGGTTTCTGACACGACAGCTTGTGTCAGTTTTTGACTGTGGAACCCTACTGTCATATTTTATTTCTGCTTCTGTGTGTCCCATAGGAAACGTCTGGATGTCATCACCACCACAAACTGGCTGGCACCAGTCGTATGGGAAGGCACCTTCGACAGAGTGGCCCTGGAGAAATATTACAGAAAGTGGAACATCACCGTGGGCTTGGCTGTGTTTGCTATTGGCCGGTAGATGCTGTAAAGCCCTGCCCCCTTTATCTTGGGACATGTGGTTCAGCATCCATAGATGTTTTGCTCCCAAAGAGCTGCATGTCCTCTTTTGTGACCACTACTGCTGGGCATGCCAAATAGAAGTTTGCTATGATGAGTCCCTGTACCAAGGCTGGGTCCATAAGGCCACTTGGGAGTTCTTAACAAATGCCTCACTCAGCTCTGACTCAGTTCTGAAATTCCATGGCCATTGTCAGGCCTGTGGCCTTACTAACCAGCTTGGTTGACCTTTAGACCCAACATCTCTACCCTGATCTGTTTGGGTTTTTAGTATCAAGGACACTCCTCTTATCAACACCCATTCCATTTAGAAATGTAAGTTTCTTGTTCTGTGTGTTCCCAGCCTCACTGACCAGTATCTGGACCCATTCTTGCAATCTGCCAGCAAGTTCTTCATGCCTGGGTACCGTGTGATCTTCTACATCATGGTGGATAGACACATACAGCTACCTGAAGTGGACTACAACCCTCTGCAATCCTTTCAAATACACACCATAGGTGAGGAGAGATGGTGGACCAACTTGGACCTCATCCGAATGAAAATCCTGGCAGAGCACATCCAGGAGCATATCAGATATGAGGTGGACTTCCTCTTCAGCATGAGTGCCAACCTGGTCTTCCAGAGCGAGTTTGGGGTGGAGACCCTGAGCACGTCTGTAGCCCAGCTCCATGCTTGGTGGTATTTCCAGAAGACAAGTTATCTCCCCTATGAGAGGAGACCTATGTCAGCAGCCTACATTCCCTTTGGCCTGGGGGACTTTTATTACTCAGGCACCATTATAGGGGGAGTGCCCTTTCAGGTTCTGGACGTTGCTCAGGAATATTTGAAAGGTGTTGTTTGGGATGCAGAAAATGGACTTAATAGCACCTATGAAAAATACCTCAACAAATATTTTTTCCTCAAAAAACCCACCAAACTCCTATCCCCAGAGTACTGCTGGGACCCCACCTTCAACACCCCTCAGCAAGTGTGGTACATGAAAATTGCTCAGTATCCCACAGACAGCTTATGACACACCAGTTTTTATGAGCTGAAGAACAAACCACAGTAATTCCTTATAGACACAGGATGTCTTTTTAAAAATACACACTTCAGAGGCATGATAATGCATACTCTTTCCAAATCAACTGTTCTTTCTTGCAATTTTGAATCAACCAATTTAACTGAAACTAGGATGAATAAAAGGTGATATTTTGTGTACATACACATAATGCTGTTAGCTCTGTGTTGGAGGCAACATGAGATTATTGAGACATGCAGTCTATTTTATTTAAAATGCAGGAAGACTTTGGGTTACAAATAAAAATCCCCAAAATGAAAAATACTTTAATATTAATATACAGAAGGAAAAAGAATAAATGGCCTTCCACTCAGTTGTGTAGTGTGCTGTTGAGATGCTGGTGACGAGCTCCTCCTCCTCCAGTCCCAGTGCGTCCAGAATGTGGTGGGACTTACATGTATTGGACAATACGCGCAGTTACAGACAGGGGTATTAAGCTAATTTGTGGGTGCATGTATGTGCACGCATGTTTGTGTATACACGCAGGTATGCATGCACACATGTGAGGGCCAGAGAACAACCTTTGGTGTCTTTCTTCAGGATCCATCCACTTTGTGTTTTGAGACAGGGTCTCTGACTTCACCTGGAACTTGCCAAGTGGGTTAGGTTGACTGGCCAGTGAGCCCCAGGAACCTACCTGCCTCTCCGTTCTTAGTGCATGGTGTGCACCACCATGACTGGCTGTTTTATGTGGGTTTTAGGCATCGAATTCAAATCCTTGAATTTATGTGGCAAGCACTTTTTACCAAGTGAGACATTTTTAAATGGGTGCTACTTTTGCTTTGGGGGTGGGGTAAGATATTTTACTTTATTTTTTTATTAAATATGTGGAGGGAGTAATGTACATATGAGTGAAGGTGCCAGTAGAGGTAAGAGGTGTTAGACACCGCTGGAGTTAGAGTTCTAGACAGCTGTGAGCCACCTCATGTGGGTGCTGGGAATTGAACTCAGTTTCTCTTGAAGAGTAGCAGGTGTTCTTAATCACTGAGTCATCTCTCCAACCATTTTGTTTTTGAAACAAGTTCTCATTACTTGCTAAGCCTGGCCCTAAACTTGCCCTCCTTCTGCCTCAGTCTCCTATGGGCTGTGATTGCAGGTGTATGCCACTATGCCTGGCTTGTTTTAGGTTTACTGGGCACCTCTGTAAGGGCACTACGCCAGAATGACAGGAAACAACTGTGCCGCTAGCAGCCTGTGGCCAGTCGCTGGGGCGAACAGTGTCTGCAGCATGGATCTTGCGCACTGAAGAGTGCTTAGGGAGTGCAGGGGAGACAGGGCTAGCCAGATCCTGAGAAGTCAGGGACCCACAGCTGCCGTTGTGGGTGACATGGTGAACACAGGCTTGCAAACCTGGTCCCAGGCTTCAGCCTCTGTGATGCGGAGCAAACTCCTGCTGCCTACACCTCAACTCCTTAAAAGCCAGGAGTTATGAGTAACTAGATGTCTGGGTCAGCAAAGATGGTGACAGTAAAACTCTTCTGAAGATGCAACGACCAGAAAATCAGATTTAAGCACATCAGGATGTAAAGTGCTTTTGGCCACTGTGACCCATGTTGTTGGGTCACATGTGACTCTACTACGGCCTTGGCTCTGAACAGACATGTACTCTTTGCACAGTGGGTGCCCTTACACCATACCACACCAGAAAACTATGCCTGAAGCACCTTAGCTCAGATTCCAGACCATCATGTGTTATGAACTGCTCTTAAAGAAACATGGTAGTTTTAATTTCAGAAAACAAAGACTTTCTGTATTTTTCTACATTTTTCAACATGAAGTATCCAAATGGGATATCTTTTGAGAACTGTACCTTAAAATGTTTGACTTTTAAAATTGCTCTGTGAGTTGCTGACTTGAATTTCTTTTAAAAAATTTAATTTTGGTTTGAGATTAAGACAATTTCCAACAATTTCTCATAAGAACAGATACTACGCTTGATCTTAGCCAAAAGGCCGAGAAGCGATTCCAGCAATTTCTGAAATGGCCCTAAACACACTTTTGTTAATGCATGCTATTTGTACAAAGTGCATTATCACACGGTTCATAAATCAAAATTCTGACTGAAAGATGCTGAAGATCCTCTGTGTTCTGCAGCAGCAAATATTCATCCCAGGTTTAATCTTTGTGTAAAAATGAACAAGCATCCATCTCATTAGTACGCAAGATTGCTCTGATATTTAATAGTAAATTTGAAAAATACTAAAAATGGTATATAAACAAAATAATTATTTTAAATATTTTCTTTATGTTTTGTTAACAGTAAATGTTTAATTTGTGAACTTTATACATATATATGTATACATACATATTCATCTATCCATCGTCTGTCTGTCTGTCTATCTATCTATCTATCTATCTATCTATCTATCTATCTATCTATCTATCCATGTGTACCTGAACTTGTGGGTAAAATATCTCTGGTAGTCAAGTGTAGTGACACATGCTTTTGATCATGAAGTAGAGGGCGGGTGAATCTGTGAGGTTTTGTGTGTGTGTGTGTGTGTGTGTGTGTGTGTGTGTGTGTGTGTGTGTGTGTTTTAGGAGAGGAAAGGGTTTATTTGGATTATACTTCCAGGTCAAAGTGCACCACTGATGCAAGTCAGGGTAGGAGCTCAGTAGGAGCCAGAAGACAGGATGGCCTGCTATTCTTTTTATTATTATTATTCTTTTCTTTTTTATTATTACTTCAATTTTAAATAGCTTGTTTCACATGTCAATCCCAGTTCCCTCTCCCTCCCCTCCTCCTGCACCCCTCACCATCCCCCCAGCCTCCCACCCTATCCCCACTTCCTTCCACATAAGGGGATATCCAGAGTCTGTCATTTCATTTAGGGCAGGGTCCAGGCACTCCCTTAAGAGTCCAGGCTGAGAGACCATCCCTCTTTGTGCTATGGACACACGATGTCTGTTAGTATTCGAGGGATAAACACTGATCTACTGCCCAGGGCCCCATAAGTTGCCCAGGGCTCCTCACTGGCTCTCACACTCAGGGGGTCCAAATCAGTCCCATGCTGGCCTCCCAGCTGTCAGTCTGGGGTCCAAGAGCTCTCCCCTGTTCAGATCAGCTGTCTCTGCTGGTTTTGCCAGCCCATTCTTTGCCAATTTGCTCATCACTCCTCTCTCTCTGTCACTGGGTTCCATGGGTTCAGTTCAGTGCTTAATTGTGTGTTTGCCTCTGCTTCCATCAGTCACTGGATGAAGGCTCCAGGATGGTTATAGACATCAAGTTCATTATCAGGAATGGGCATTTAAGGTGGTCTTTCCACTATTGCTTAGCTTACCAGTTGGTGTCATCCCTTTAGATCACTAGAGGTCTCACTGGTGCCAGATCTGTTTTCTAACCTATGACTCCCTCTTCCCCCTATTCTAGCCCCCATTCAACCTTCCTGTTCCCCCATGACCTACTCTCTCTTCTTCTTCTCACCCTCTGAATCTGTGAGTTTTAAAACCAAGTTGGTCTACATGGCAAGTCCTAGGCCAGTCAGAGCTACACAGTGAAATCTTGTCTGTAAAAACACATAAAATCTCAGGGAAAATGGTCACAAGCATAAACATTTTAAGAAGTCCTGGTCTAGACCACCCTGTTCCTCATCACCAGAGCCCGGATGAACAAATACAGTAAACAACTAAACTTACACTAAGAACACATAGTTGTTCCTATTCCAAATTTGTCAGTGATGCCTGCCTTTGGTGTACCAGAGGTAAACATTTTGATAGTGCCTCTCTTTTCCCTTGAGTCTTATATCCTGGTGTCATCAGCTTGTCCCTGAAGTTTAATATTCATGTTATAGACAGTTCTGGATTTCTCTTTTTTTAAGAAAGTAATTAAAAAATACTCTGAGATCGCCAATTTTATCTCTCCTATGTTGCACTTGTTCCCTTATCTCTGCCTGCTGAAAAAATTATGCCTCTGCTGGCTGCTCCAGGCCCATGGTGAACCATCCCTGTGTGATCGTGGCTTGGTATCCCATCATCCTGTGTGCTCATGGCTTAGTGTGCTATCCTCCTTGTGTGCTTGTGACTTGGTATCCCATCATCCCCGTGTGATCATGGCTGGGCATCCCATCACCCCCATGTGATCATGGCTTGGTCTCCCATCATCCCTGTGTGTTCATGGCTTGATACCCCATCATCCATGTATGCTCGTGGCTTGGTATCCCATCATCCCTGTGTGCTCATAGCTTGGCAACCCATCAGGTTCTGTTGGTCTTCTGTCTTGACCTGCTGCCACATGATTATCAGCCTCTCTCTACATGAGGGTGGAAGGGTGGGTCTGTATTCGTTGCTTTTCTTTTTAAAACTTTTATGCCTTCATGCAAATTTCAGAATCATTTTACAGTTTGGGAAGAATTCCTTCCAGGAACTTTTGTAGAACAAGATCCCTTGAGCAAAACAGCTGCCATTTTCATCAGATCGACTGTGCCTGCTGGCAAGGGTCCAACACAACGGGGCTTGTTGACAATTGACATTCCCTCATAGAAGGAAGTGGGGGGGTGTCTTGAGAGGTGCTAGAGTGTATGGGAGGGGTAGTTAATTGAGAGGAGCTCCATTTATGAGGTTATGGGAAGTCACCATCCACATTGGGTGAAGACTTTCCAGTGTTGAAGCTTTGGAGTCACCCATACTTCTGTAAGTAAGACAGGTAAACTCACTGGTTCCCCAAGCTGAACTTAGGTTTGCCACTGGCACCTTGAGAGGAGCGGGTACTCAGGGAGGAGTACCCGCAACCAGACATTGAATTCCTTAGTGTGTAGAGTAAACAGAGAGTTATTAAATCTTTATCATATTGTGAGAAATAATCGTTATGGCCCATTTTCAGTACTCTTAGAGCTCATGAGAGTTACAGATAAAAGGAAGCTATTGGTCCTTCTCCCTTCCAGCCTGGGGGCTGGTGCTTGTCTCAGAGCCAGGAAGCTGCAGGCAGTCTGCTACATGACGGAGTCCATAATCAGAAAAGGGGCGGACTCAAGTCCTAGGATACTCATTAGATAAGATTTTGTGTCCTGAACCAATAGCGTGGGGAATTTGGAAAGGAGTGGGGTGTACCAGAAGAATGTGACAAGAATGCCAGTCTCTGGGTGACTCTTCAGGGCTTCTTATGACGAGAGACTTTAAAACCATTCTCTCAGGTTTGAGAGATGGCTCACTGGTTAAGATCACTTGCTGCTCTTGCAGAGGATCTGAGTTTGATACTTTTCTGGCTTTCTATGGTACTGCTTTCTCTCTCACTCTTTGTCTGTCTGTCTGTCTGTCTGTCTGTCTCTGTCTCACACACACATACCTTCAAAAACAAAAAACAGAAAGAAAACCCTCTCTGTCTGTCTGTCTGTCTGTCTCTGTCTCTCTCTCTCTCTCTCTCTCTCTCTCTCTCTCTCTCTCTCACACACACACACACCTTCAAAAACAACAACAACAAAAAACAGAAAGAAAACCCAAACAAACTACCATCTCATGTCAAATCGGCCTTGGTGGCTGGAGTAAGAATGGTCCCCATTGACTTGTATGTGTAAATGCTTAGTCACTAGGGAGTGCTGCTGCTTGAGAGGGTTAGGGGGATTAGGAGAAGCGTGTCACTGAGGGTAGGCTTTGAGGTTTCAAAAGCTCTGCCTCTCTCCCCTGCTGATTAGGATGTAGCTCTCAGCTACTGTGCTAAGTGCCATGCCTGTCTCTTCCCATCATGATGACGACGGACTAAGCCTCTGAAGCTGTAGTCAAGTCTCAAATAAACACTTCCTTTATAATAGTTGCCTTGGTCACTGTCTTTTCACATCAACAGAACAGTGATTAAGATACCAGCTATGCCATTTGGCCCGTTTCTCCACGCTAGTCCCTTTTTACAGAATACTGTATTAAAATAACTGCTCACTTTCACCAGTCTCTTTTATTTATTACAGAGTGAGGGGCATGTTTCCCAAAACGCAGAAGGTTACACAGGAATGTCACATCTCTACGTATTCAAGTTACTTTTTTTTGCCTGCTACCAAAGATGAATAGAAGTCAGGTCTTGGGTGTGTTGGGCAAGCACCCTGCCTCTGGACCAATCCTCATCCCCAAAATAAACTTTTGTGTCCAAGAATGGGGCATTTTCTGTAAGAACAGCTAAATTTGCTCACCTTCTTTCAAGTTCATAGCTCTTAAACCTCCTAAATGTTCCTTCAGCCATAGGCCAGGTGAGAGCCTTGGGGACTCTTTGTGTTATTTGATGGGACTTGGTTGCCACAGGGAGGAAGGGGATGGGGAAGACCAGGCAGACAGGGCTCAGCTCTGGGCTCCAGGCTCCAGGCCCCAGGCCCCAGACCCCAGGCCCCAGACTCCAGGCTCCAGGCTCCAGGCTCCAGGCTCCAGGCTCCAGGCTCCAGGCTCCAGGCTCCAGGCCCCTAGGAGCTGCAGAGGGGCTTCCTGAGCTGCTGGCTGTGGTGAGGAGGAGGAAGGGAGGCTGGGGCAGCAGAAGGTGAAGGGGCCCAGGTGGGAAGAAGCCTCAAGCAGCAGCCTCATCTAGGCCCTATTTGGGGGACACTGGTCTGTGAAAAGGAAGAGAAATGGTAGGATTAAGGTCTTCATTCGACTTCTTTCAAATCAGCCAAGAAACCAACCGCAACAGAAAAGTGTTGAGTCCCCAAAACTGCCCTGCCTCCTGCCCTTGGGCCCCCATGATGGCCACACCCTACATAGCCTGTGCTCTGGCAGAGGCCCATCCCCCACATCCTCCGCATGTTCTCTCTTCCAGGGAACATCCTTCCTGACCTCTGCACATGCAAGGAGTCCCCTGCAGCCTCTGCCCCTGACAAATGGCCCCATCACAGCCTGCTTTGTCCTCTGCTGCTGTCTGCTTAGTATGTCTGAACCTGTCTTGTTCCACAGACAGGGCTGTGCGTTGGCTGGTCAATTAAATGATGCCCTGAGTGGTGATGCAAAGGGCTGGATGCTGGGGTCAGGAGACCCTGAGATCTGGACCACACCCAGGCCTCTTCCTGGTTGTGTCCTTCTCCCTTATTATGGGCTGTCTCTGAGCCACACCCATGGCATGGAGTCAGTAAGTGTCCTCATCACTGTGTCTCAAGGTACCACGCGACACCTGGCAGGGGAAGCATCTTGCACAGGCCTGGCCAGAAGAACAACATCAAGAAGGCTATTCTTGTGCTGCTAATGCACCATGCAGTGGATGAGAGAGGGAGGCACCCTTTAAGCAGCTGTGGAGCAGCTGGAAGGCAGCTCTTACCAGCCATGTTGAAGATGGGGGCCTTTTGAAGGTGGAATTTCTCCACAAACATCAGGTATTTCCCCAGCCATGTAGGGTCCTCAGGCAGTCTTCTGGCTGAAATTAGACAGCTGGTAGTGAGGTTAAGCTCTCCCAGCTCTCAGTTCTCCTGTATAAAAAGGAGGGAGCAGAGCCCAGGCAGGGTTCAGAGGCCCTGACCATCGCCACCTGACACCGGGTCTCCTGAGTTGCAGGGGTGTTTTGGGGTTGGTCAGATCACTGTGCCACCTCTCTGGTTACCTCCCAGACCCAGCACCTCCTTCTCTCAGTGATCACAACGGTCCCTTGTGTCTTCTATAAGCGTGTCGGGGGCAACCAATGTGACCCAGTCGGTGGAGCACGTGCCCAGTATGCAGAAGCCATGAGTTCTATTCCCAACACAGAAAAAGGGAAAAGGGGCCAAGGACAGGTCTGATTCTGGCAGTCTAACTCCTCTCTAATAAACAAGTGAGGCTGGCATCCTCCTCTCGAAGCAGGTGTCCCTGCCCCGCCCCCGCCCCGCCCCCGCTGGCCCCTGATCCTTCTCAGAGCTCAAGGCTCTTGGCTATCTTCAGTGTCACTCAGGACACTGGATATAGCCGACCCCACCTACTTCCAGACTTCAAGACGGAAGAGCTGCTTGACATCCCTCATAAACCCTTTTGGGGAACCTGAAAGGACCCAGTTACTACTAATCCCAGGACATCACCAGACTGCAGCAGACACTTGATGCTTGTTGACAGAATAAGAGTGAGTGGGTGGGCGACTGAATGAGCGAATGAGTGTGTGACAGAGCACTTGGTACCTGTGGTGGTGGCAGGTGTGGCTGCAGCCATCATGAGACCCCCCCCCACCTTCCAGACAGAAAGTCTCTGGTCAGACAAGGGAGGGACCAACACCTACCCACAAGACCTAGACACAGCAGCCAGGGCTGGGGAGAGCCATCACCTACCCAGAAGTGCCCACAGGTTGACGACTTCATTGTCCTCAAAGCGGACATAAAGAATAAGGTTGCTGTAGTCGGTGCTGACGAAATGGACATGCATGCTGCCGTCTTCAACTATGGAGAACCGGGTGTGACATGATGCTTCTGCCCTTTGTCCCCAGGATGCCACTTCCCCACAGAGAACAGGACACTACAGAGAAGATGTGTGTGGCCTGCCCAAAGCTGGTAGCTCCTTCAGGGGTTGGGCTTTGAGAAGGGTGTCTGGACTCCCCAGCTAGACCGCTCCCTTCGGCGTAGCACCTGCGTTCCCCAGGAAGTACTCACAGGTTCCTTGGTACTGGCCTTGGAGCCCCGTTGGGTGGACGGTAATGTTTATTGCTGTGCATAACCCCTCTCCTCTAGAAAGGAGAGGAATTTCTGTGCATTTCTGCTTCAGAGGGTGGCTGGCTCGGGGCACAGAGAAACATGGGAGGTGACCCTGGCTGAGATCCCTGAAGCCCTCCCCGGTTCTCAGCTGCCACTGTTTGGGAGCCGCCATCACTGCGGTTAGGCAGGTGGGGAGAGAGGGTGGTAGCCACAGGGAGTAGGGAAAGGGGTCCTGCTCATAGTTGATGGATGATGGGCCTGTTCACACGAAACCAAACCCCCCAGGGATGTTGAGGCCAAACTGTCCTCTGAGAGTTGGGTCTTGGGATCACAGCTCTGACCTGTTTGTCTCTGACTGTTCCTGTGCTGTACAGACAAGGCTCATGTTTCATGGGGTCCAGCCTGGTCTTGGACTCATTATAGAGCTAAGGGTGGCCTTAAACTCCGGATAATCCTGATTCTACTTCACAAATGCTGGGATTAAAGATATGTGCCGCTAAGTTCAGGTAATTCGCCACTTTTAAATGACAAGATTGAACATTAAAGAGCCAGACTAGGGACTCCCCCATGGCCAGAGGCCGGAACACATGGTTGGCATCTTGGAGGGCATGGCAGCGGGCCTGGCAGCTGACTGTGGGCCTTTTCTGCAGCTCTTTCTCTTAAGCCTGGAGGCATGCACTCTGCAAGCCACAGCCTTCAGTCTGGCACAGTATCTCGGTCCCTCTGGCCACCCATGCTAACCCCTCAGGGCTCTGGGCAAATAATAGGAGTTACCACAAGCACTCACTTCTCAAGCAGCACAAAGTCCACATCCCCACCATCTCTGGTCCCAATGGAGTGGAGAGAAAGTCTTAGGGGGTCAGTGGGCAAGACCAGGTCCCTGTGGCTAGTGGCCAGCTGGATGGTAAGCCATTGTCCTTCCACCTGCAGGAGTGTGGGCATGGGGACCAGAGAGATGGCTAGTTCTGAGTTTCCAGTCGTACAGATAATAAAGCTGTAAGCCTGGTCAGTAAACGGGCACGTGTGCCCAGAATGTACGCTGGCCAACCCCACCCCACCCCCGATATCAGTGAACTCCTGTGACAAAGTGTGAGCTGTGACGTTCCACTTGGAAATATTTCCCTCCATTCTGCTCCAGCTTTCCTTCCCTCTCTGCCCCCTTCCTCCATGTGTCCCCCTTTTCCTCAGCGCCCCCACCCCTCCAATCTCTGTTCCTCAGATTCATTGTGCCCTAGAACTGCTCCCACTAACCCTCCCAGCCTGGTACTATCCAGTTCCCATACCTGATTCTGGGCACCAAGATGGACAGGCAGAGGCAGACAGGAGCCCAGGACACACTTTGTGCTGCATGTCACCCTAGTGGGGACCTGTCATCTCAGCTCTGACCCTGTTTCCACAGCCAAGGCTCTACAGACTCTGAGTCTGCTCTTGGACCATCAGCTTCCATTACCAGAGTTAATTAATGGTCCCTGGGTCTACCAGAGTTCCTGGAAAGCTGGGCTAACTTTCTAAACACACCCTCAGTGTGATACTGTACCCAATCCTTATCCCAGCACTGAGTCTGGGCCTGGCCACCACACTCACCTTGCGTGCATCAAAGTCTGGCTGCAATGGCACCTCGTCCAGAGTCTTCTGGGCTAGGTCTACATTAAAGGCCAACAGCAGCAGCCAGCCCCTCACCAGTGTCATGGCACCTGGGGCGAAGAGCCGCAGGTCCCAGCAGCTCCCCGTCTCTGAGAGCGTCATAAGGAGCTCCTAAGCAGCTTCTGGCTCACCCTGTGCCTCCCAGCCCTGCACATTCCAGTCTTCCCTAGGACTGAAGCAAGCTGGGCGCCACTCAAGTCAGTGAGGCAAAAACATGGAGAGCCTGTTGGGGCAGCTTAAGCACGTTGCAAGGCTGTCCTAGGAGTGGCTGGTGGTTAGAAGAAGGCCAGAGGCATGCCTGCTGCTCCCTCAGACGTAGGCCCTTGTTCCCAGGTCTGCCATCTTTCTGGTGTGTCCATCCACCAGTCACTGGAGCAGGAGTGGAAGGAAGGACTCTCCTACACCCTCGTTCACCTCACGCTCATATAGTTCCTTCCCTGGCTGTGAAGGGGAGCACGGGTGCATAGATTTAGTCTCTCTGGAAAGCACTTGAGGAATGGGAGTGTACTGCCAGTGGGGCTGTTACTATACCTGCTTATCTTGAATGCCCCTCACCACCCCTCTCCGCAGCCTCATGGCCACTCTGTCCCATGGATCCCGGATAGCACGGGGTAGCCACTTTCCTAGTGCCTTCCTTTGCTTTAGAGTCAGACCCCAGGCTCGCTCACTCCTTCTTGATGCCACATTTGATAGCTCATGCCAGATGTGACACCTTGCTCTATACTGTCTTCTTCTCTGGCCTTTTTCCCGGGCCTTGACCTCTTTTGTTCTGCCGGGACCTGGCTCAGGGACACTCTAGAGAACTGTACAAAGGGGCCAGTTCCGTCTCTGGGTTTGGTGTAGGACTAGCTTGTCACGGGGTCATCAGAGGTCCAGCTTTCCACTGCGGTTGAGTTAGCTGGCCTTCGCCAGGCATTTGCCTGCTCCTTCCCTCCGTGGCTAAGTTGACTTACAGCCATTGGCTTCTAAGGCAGGAGACAGTCATTTGTTGGGGGAGGTCAGAGGAGCAGCACGGGAGGGCCTGGTCTAACCTGCAAGATCTTCCTGTCAAGGCACAGCTCCCTTGGGTGAGGTCCTAGCCTGCACTCCTGGCCCCAGGTACAATGACTCAAGCTTTGAGAAACCTCATGACGTGTCTGTCCTTCATGTCCTAGAAGACAGAAAATCCCTGCCCATGACTGACCCGGCCTTGACTATTCCTATAATAAGAGCCTGTCCAGGTTCCAGGAAGGGAGGGTGGGCAAGGACTCTGGGAAGGTGGCAATGCTGCCTCCTCCTGCTCCTTAGGCCATTCAGGTTTGCCTACTCAGACATACAGAGATGTGTCGTCTCCAGGTCTGGTCTGGATAGCTCTGTCTCGGGAATCCAGAACTCCCTGAGGCCCCTCAGAGCCCAGCTGCTACCCTGGGCATGAGATTTCTACCTGGGGGTACTGTCCCTGCCCCACCTTATAGAAAGCTAGGTGGATACCACCCCTCCCTGTGGGAAGTCCCTGTGGCTTTTGGGTACAGATAAGAAGGCAACCAGAGCCGGGCGGTGGTGGCACACGCCTTTAATCCCAGCACTCGGGAGGCAGAGGCAGGCAGATCTCTGTGAGTTCGAGGCCAGACTGGACCGACAATCTCCAAAACAATACAGAGAAACTCTGTCTCGTAAAAACCAAAAAAAAAAAAAAAAAAAAAAAAGAAGGCAACCAGAGGCCATGAGCAGATGCTGAGTTTATTCGTTGCATGAGGAAGGGTGGGTGGGAGTTGGCAGATGGTTAGGAGTTGATGATCAAAACCACCAAGAGATGGATGCCACGGACAATGCTGACTCTTGGGTTCCAAAGGCCTGGACCTGGGGAAAGCAGATGCCCTGTGGCTGATCTCAGGAACCGTTACAATCTAGGGAAGCACAAGACTCCAGATCAGCATCTTGAAGTTTCTCTCTGTCCCTTCCTCCCAGTGCTCAGCCTCTTCCCTCCCTCACCTTACTGTCCCTATCTCCTGGGTCTTGCATACCCAGGAACATAGCGTGGTCGAACAAACTCTCCATAAGGGTCATATTCCCTGAAGGTCACCAAACCCCCAGCCTGTGTCCCCACCTTGGGGTGTGTTCCTAAGACAATGGTTTTAAGGAGCCTACGAAGTCTCTCCTCACTTTGTACTGCTATGGTGGACATGGTTAATAGAGCTCCCTCTGCTTTCTTATGGATGTGAAGAGGCAATCTGGAAATCCAGGAGACCAAATTGAGAGGAAAGCCCCCAATTCTTTCTCCTGGGGGCCCCTGGGAAGGGGAGCGCTGCTTAGCCCAGCAGAGTCATGAAAGGGTATGTGTACAGCAGGGGTTCTCAGCAAAGCATGGGTGAACATGAACAGAAGTGTCTGGGAATATAGCGTGTGCATACACAAAGGATGTGTGCAGAAGTATGCACACACACACACACACACACACACACGCACGCACGCACGCACACACACTCACTCAAGATGTGTGCCAAGATACTTGCTCATGCTCCCCAGGACCCTGGAGAGAGGCAGAGTCTTCCTGGACCCATCTGATGTTCTAATTCAGGCAGGGCCCTGGGCACAGCATCCTTCACAAACCCTGGCTGCTATACTCTGGGATTATACATTGCAGAATGTTCCCTGGAAAAGTCTATCTGCCAGACTATGGATGATGAAGACTGGAAAGAGTCTAGTCACCTACTGACGCAGGAGCTACTTCTTGTTATGGACCAAAGAGGAAGCAACCTGGATCACAGTTCATTACCTGAGTCCTCTTCTCCCTCCAGAGCACCCTCTTCAGATCAGCCCTAGCTCTGCTAAGCCCCACACAGACCTCTCATCCTGCCATCCCCTTAACACTGTGACTTCCTACAGCATAGACTTCCAAAGGAGTCACAGTCATCATGGCCACTGTGGCTGGGGTCCCACAGAGAAGAAGCTGTAGGAAAATAGGCTTACGATTCAGGGACACGTCCACAATGCTGTCTGGTGCAATGCCTCTTCTGGATGTGTGCCTCTTATAGGGCTCCAGCCCACGCTTACCTGCGTACAGAGTCCTGCCTGCAGCCAGCAGGATCGAAAGTGTAGTTGAGCAAAGAGACCCGTAAGAGGGGTGTACTTGGGGCAGGGAGAGCAGCTAACGCCCCTAGTCTCCCCACCCTCCCGACCGCCTCTCCAACTCAAAGGTCCTGCCATTCTCTGCAGTCTTGAGGCTGTTGTGGGTGGGAATGGCACCCACCATGGAGCTCAACCACGATGAGCGTATTTCCTTCGCTGTGGTTTTCCAAGTCCATGATGGTGAATTCCTCCGTGACAGCCACAAATGTCAGATAGTTTTTGCCTTGGTCTAGGACAAGAAACCAAATGTTCATGACACAACATTGGGGCCTTGTGTCTCCTGGTGGCCAGAGCCTCCCCAGCTGGCACAGCCTGACTCGAGCTCCGCATGCTCTGCCCGTGGCATTCAACAGAGCCCAGGGCCCAAAGCCACCAGGCAGCCAGTCTCCTGCCTCTGCTCCTCTATCAGTCTTTCTCTCGCTCTGATTCCCCCAACTCTCTTCCTCTGTCTCTTGATCTGAGTCAGGAGGGCGTGTCCAATGAAGGGGAAGGGCTCAAGAGTCTCCTCCTCTGTTTCTCCCGTTATCCGGACTCCTGTCCCCACCCCCACACTGCCTTGTGTTCCTTTAGCCTGAGCAACAATGTTCCAAAGGGAAATCCTTACACAGTACCCCGGAGCCACAGCTGGGTGAGGTCTCCTGAGTCCCTCCTCCCTCCCAGCCCCCCTTACACCGCTTGTCATGTGAAGATGGGTCAGCTCTGTGCTGAATCCACAGGGAGAGAGGATTCAGGACGACTGTGGGGAGCCCTGGGAACCCAGCCTTCTTGGATTTTTGGATTTCTGAAGACATAGCTGCTAGGTCTATGTGGTTACCATCCCCGTCCTTCCTGACCAGCCACTTTTGAACTCCAGCAGCTCATGTCCCCCACCCCACCCCAAGGCCCCAGGGAGGAAGTGGCAGCTACTGTAACTCACACTCAAAGGTGTAGCGTCCGGGGATTCCAGTCTTCTCTGCCACATAGAATTCCTTCACGCACTTTCCACCTTGTCTAAGAGGAAAATAGCCTTCCTGAGCCACGCCTGAGGGACTGGGTCCTATAAGGTCACCTGGATGACCCAGAGGGAGCGCCGGATGCTGCCCCACCTCCAGGGAGCAGGCCAGAGGATCAGTATCATCAGGGCCCACTCAGGGCCTGAGCTCTGGAGAGCTGGGGGTCTGGGAGACGGTGGAGAGGTGGCCCTGCAGAGTCTGATTAGAGGTCTGAGCATGCCATACTACCTGTGGAAGTAGGTGACATTCAGGTTGCCATTGTCCAGGAGGGCAATGCCAGTCATGAAGCACCGGTAAGCACCTCCTTCCTCAATGACAGACCAGTCAGTGGAAGCCAGATTGACGGTGCTCCATTGTCCCGTCACCTGCAGAGTAAGGTTCTATCCTGACCACAGAGTCCTGGGGAGCCATCTTCCTGGATAGTGGATCACAGCAGGGAGGAGCCCGGCACTTTCTGCAGAGGTATAAAGTGTGGACCTCACCTCATCTCTTACTGTGTGCTGAGGAGGAGCCTTGGGGACTACTGACTCTTTCCCACCACCCCCAATCAGACAGGCCAGCACAGAATATCCACTAGCGACTGGACAATGCTGGTAGAATTTGGTGACTCTATTCTCCAGATCCCTGAAGAGGGATGGTGCCCTCTACCAAATGAGGGCCTCAGGGTCTCTGTGCAATGACACATAGTAGAGGGCCTAGTTATCTCATCTCTCCTATTTGGTCCCTAGGTTCAAGCTCCTCCTGGTGCCTGGTCAGCTGCAGCAGGGCTTTCAAGTAGCTCACACTCTGGGGGACCTAGTAAAGTATCCCCTGATCCGCTGTCCTCAAGTAAAATGCCACTCCTTTGGTGCCCCTTGCTGTGAGTTGCTGTCAAGTCACCGCAGGGTGATAGAGACCTGGAAAATACTTCCATATATGGGACGGTCCCCTGCTCTATTCAGAGTCCCTGAGCATCACCTGCTCAGGGCTGAAGCCCGGCTGCACGGGAACCTCACTTTGGTCCTGCAGGGTCCAGGCCAGGCCCAGCCCCACAGTCAGCAGCAGTAGACGCTTCATTCCTCTGCTGTGTCTTCTTGGGATGAGTGCTCAGGATGTGGGTGCGCAGAGGCCCCCGCTGGGAACATATATACTGTTCAGAGGCAGGAAGTCCTTCTGCCCCTCCCGGACCCACAGGAGCCAGCAGGGAGTTCAGGGGAGGATGCTGTCAGCCCTGGGGCTGCAAAATGCTCCCATTGAAAGGTCAGGGTGCAGGCCAGGACTGGGTCATTATGTGACTTGGCTTCTAGACTGAGATGTCTTTGTGAGTAGGCCTGGGACACCTTAGACGTGGCACCTCATCGGCCTGGAGAGATAACCAAGGGCCAAGCCCTCAATCTCAGCAGGTGACAGCTGGGCAGGGTATACATGTTCTTCTAGAGAGAGGCCATGGTTTCACTGGACTCTCGAGGCGGCCAGCACCCTAGAACTGAGCTACCATGGAGCATGAGGCCTGTGCTTTTGCCCACAGGGTCCTGTTCCCGGCCTTTCAGCCTCTAACCTCAGTGGCTTATTATTGCCGTGGGATCATATGTGGATGTTGACCCCTGAGGAAGCTGGGCCAGGCCACTCTGTGACATGGCTGTGGAGCAGTCGAGTCTGACTATGCCGTGTGTTTAGAAAAGGGTCGGTCTTCACGGCGGGCCTACTGCCAACTTCAAGCTATAGCCTCAATTCTTTGCAAGATGTTCCAGGTTCTAGGAGGTGCCGTGGGGGTACAGAGACCAGGGGTCCAGACATAAATAGTGCTGAACCATGAGAGGACACCCTCAGGTACGCTCTGTGCCCTCCTTCCCATGTGCCCGTGGAAGCCCCGAATAGCCAAGGCTTCCCTGCTTTCGCGGCCCCAGCTCCAGTGTTGGACTGGAGGCTATTCAGCCAGTGAGACTAAAAGGATTATGGATCTGAAGGTCAGCACCGTAACTGATCACACGCGCACGCGGAAGGGCTCACGGCCATTCGGTTGGGGTTGGCAAGGAGAGCTGAGTTCCTAATCTCCAGGTCGCAGGTAGGTCAGGGGCACTCCAGGGGTCTTGGGTGGAAGGCCCACTGTGCTCCAGGATGAAACCCGGGGACTCCAGCTTGGTTGTTGCTCTGACTTAGGCTTTCTGACTGTTGTTCAGCTGCAGGTGCTCAGACCAGGTGGTGTAAGCGTGCACACATGCGTGTTGTGCATGTACACAAGTTCGTGGCTGTATACATCACGAGTGAGTGTACATGTATATATGTGTGCAGTATGATTGTGAGCCTACGACCCTGTGTACTTTACCTGTAAGTGTGCTTGCATATGAGAGCAAGCATGCATATGTGTGCACGAATGTACACATGCCAACACTTTCCTGCTTGATGCATGTTCACATACATGCAATTGCCTCTGTCAGGAAATTCACAGTTCTTGGAATGTTGTGGAAATTCCCACAATCACCTTGGGACACCCTGGACTTGTTCTCAGATATGTCCTCTCTAGGATCCGCCAAAGTATGCTGGGGGCCTGACAGACCTGAGCACAGCCTGGGGCCGGTGTTGACTCTAGGAATGTAGTGGAAATCTCCGGGCTGAGCCCACTGAGACAGGAACCAGCAAAAGAGGTAAGGGGTAGGGTGAAGCTGCAATATTATGAAGGACCTAGGTGAGGAGAGATGTCACTCTTCAAACCCTAGATACCAATGAGAAGCTTCCAGACAGGAGTGCTATGGGAGAGTCCATGTTCATCGAGTTGTTGAATACAGGACACAGAAGTTCCTGCATGAAGTTCCATAATGGGCAGTGCTCATCACAGACTTGGTGTCAGCACCACCTGGGCCAACACAGGCAAGGCTCCGGGTCCAGCATGCACGGCCAGCTGGGTCCCCAAGGTGTGAAGTGAAGCTTGGAGAAGGTGCTTGTCACTCTGTAAGATCACAGAGTCAGGCTGGGCCAGGTCCTTGTGTCCATTTGCTCAGGACGGTGAGAAGCTCTGGGCCTGCCCAGATCACACCCTGAGCCACTTTTCTCCTGTGGTACTGGGGGCTGTCCAGATGCGCGTCCCAAACATAGGTTATTATGTGCCCTCCTCTTCTGTGCCTGAGCATGAAGCCACACTCAGATCCCACCATCAAGAAGACAGGAAGATCGCTCATGGGAGTGCCTGGAGGATAACTAAGCCTCAATGGGCTCTACAGCCAGGCTGGACCAATGGTAAGAGCATGCTCAGTAGATGTCTCCTGACAGCCAGCCTGGGTCTGCCAGAGGGCCTTGACAACAGAGTCTGATGACGTGGACCTATGCACAATGACCACATCACCTCAGCAGACGCCTGCTCAATGGATCTCCTTCCATGGGGCAGGGTTGGGGAGTATATATGGCCAACCCCTTCCTGGAATAAACTGAGCTTGTTGGTTTAACTTGTTCCCAATACCTCTGTCGTTGGTGTCCTGTCCTGTCCTCACCACCAGGGGACACCCGTCAGGATGCTGCAACAAGCGCCCTTACCTTGGGCCTAGCCTACAGGGTAACCCCCAGAAACCCCTCCCACTGCCAGCTTCCTATGGCCAGGGGTGGGCCTTGACTCTCACATGGAATTCCCATTCTTGTAGGTCAGAAGCTTCCTGTGTCTGACTGTTCTAGGATTGGACACTTGTCCTAAGGCAGGTATGGTAGACAGGCAGCTACAGAGCTCTGGCGACACCTGTTGCGGCTGGCTTCTTATGTTGTCATTCACTGTGCTTTAGTGGGTGACTTAGTAGTCCCCGGGACTTCAGGCTTAGTGATGGCCAAGACAGTCTGAGAGACATCTGGCTTAGTTCCTGGGGCTCACAGGGATCACTTGCCGGGTGCCCTTGAACAATGTTTTAGGCCTTGGAAAGGTTCCCTTGGAAAGGTGTACGTGTTCCTGCCCATGGCATTCTGGGTCTGGCCTACGTCCTGTTGTTGAGTCATCTCCCATGGTTTTCTTGGCTGTGAACCATACAGAGAAATGCAAGATTGCCTACGGGCTATTGTGAAGCCTGAATCAGTTTTTCATATAAGAGAACTCAGCCTCTCTCTGCCAAATGGCAATCTGAGGACACAGGGACTAACTTAGAGGCTGTAGTGTTGGAATCTAGCTGCTATTCAGGTCACAATACCTTGTGGCAGCCCGTCCTCTTTCAAGATACCCACAGGCACCCTACAAAGACGTTATCTGTGAGTCTTTTGCTATCAGAGATCCTGGAGACAGAATCTCTCACTGGAGGTATTGGTGGCCACACATCCTGTTCCCCACCCTGTTTCTTGTCACTTTAGAGCCCACTGCAGGTGCCTGCTGCTGAGTCAGCTGGAGGAGGCCATGGGGTACATCCTAGCTCAGAACCAAGTGACCTGGATTCTGGTACCTGTTGGCTGATTCCATGTCTGGCTCCCTTTAGAGCCCTAGGCCTCCTTCCTTACATGGCTGGGTTTATAAGGTAAGAAGAAGCAAGAAGGCTCCCGTGTTTTCCCAGTGCCTGCACCTCAGCCTCAGGTGCAAAGTGGTGACACATCTCTCACCCTCAGGTGCAAAGTGGTGACACATCTCTCACCCTCATTGTCACTGCCCTCTGTTGGTTGGGTTTGCTAAGTGAACATGCCCAGAATCTGCCTCAGGGGACGGCGCCTACCTCTGCAAAGGGCCGAGGGGAATATCCAAGTCCCTTGCATCGGGGACTCGGGGGGCAGGGCATAGGGCAAGGGCACTCTCAGAGTGTGTGTTTGGAACTGTGGCTTCCCTGCGTAGCTTCTCACAAAGCTGCAGGGGAGGGGAGTATTCGTACTGAAGAAAGGGGTGGCTCCCAGTCAGTGAAATCTATGGAAGAAATGATTGTGATTAGTACTCCAGACAGGGGAAAGGAAGAAAGAAACCCGGAAAGGAAGGGCAGAGGATGGAGTTGAGTAGAGGTGTGACAAAACTGACCGTAAGTACCCAAGCAGCCAGACGATCACAGCTAAGGAAACACCTCCACCCACCCATCCACTGAGAAACGTGGGATGGAGATGATTATGACTCTGTGGTCCAAAGAGCATTTTCCCTAATGACACTGAAAGTCTGGTGTTTCTACCCATTACTGTTTGTAGAGGAGCTTAAAAAAGCATAGCTCCTTCCAAACAATGGCTTTGATCTCTGAGGATTTTAGAAAGATTATGTAACTCTTCGTAAAGTTACCATGAATGTGGTTTTGGGGGACCCCAGTCAGTGTTGATGGAAATCTGCACCGTGTCTCCCTAAGACTCCCACACACTGGGGGGCACAAAGGTGTCACACTGTGTCATGGGGGTGACTGGCTGGGCACCACGTGGACCTCCTCATCTACCAGGCAGAAGTCTGTAAACCACAAGAGAGGAGCTGGGCTGCCCTCTGCCTCCCGGCTCTGGTCAGAAGCACTGAGTTTAAACCAGGGTCTGACCCCAGCACAGCCCACTTTGGATTCTCACCTCTTGGGTGGCCTGGTCATGTGTTGCTCTCTGTCCCGCTGGCCCTCCTTACATGTGCTGCATAGAGACGCAGCCTCAGCACCGAGCTCACTCATGTCTCCACGGCCGCTCTGCCCTCTGGCCTTCTGAGTCTGTTTGACTCATGAGGGAGGCCTTGGGGCAGCATCCATCCCTCCCTCGCCCACGCAGAGGCTCTCGCCATCTGCACTGGAGACCTGACCACACCGTTTTGCTTGGACCTCATGATCAGACAGGGATAACCTGTGGAATTCTCGTCAGAGGGAGACTGCTGTCGGTGGGAAGAGCTGCCTCAGGATCCGGAGCCGAGAGCTGCTGTGCTCCCGCCCATGTCACACCCAGGTCTTGTTCCCACGAGAAACAGAGCTCCTGACAGCCCATCCTCACAGACCCTCCACGTTCAGGCCCTTCCTAGATCCTCACCTTGATTACCAGGCAGCATTCCGCATCTATCCACACGTGTGGTCATGTGAGCATGCATGTGTGTCTGTGTGCCTGTGAGTTCACATCTATGCATCTATGCATCAGTATGCTCACATGCATCTGTATGCATATATGTCTGTGTTCCCATGTGTGTATGTCTACGCGTCTATGTGTGCCTCTGTGTGTGCACATGTGTCTGAGTACACAGCCCATCTGTGATGTCAGTTTTCCGGAAATTGCCATAAAGCTGCTGTCTCAAAACAATAGGCTGATTGTCCAGCACTGCAGTGGGGGACACCCGGCCAATGGGGAACACTGAGCACAGCCCTCTCAGGGAAGCTGCATAACTGTAGGAAGCCTAGCAGTTTGCATTAGAGGCCTGTGTGTTGTGTAGAGGCCTTGGATGCTGGTCATCCCTATCAGTGACAATGTACCTGGGACGGGGGAGGTTTGAGCAGGAGGGTACATAGATTACAGAAAAATGCCTGGGTTCACATACCCCAAGAGAGGGGGAGGGAGAGGACAGAGAGGGGGGAGAGAGGAGAAAGAGAAGAGAGAGAGGCGAGAGAGGGAGGAAGAGAGGGAGAAGAGAGATTGGGGGACAGAGGGAGAGAGGAGAGAGCAAGGAAGAATGGGGAGAGAGGGGAGAGAGGGTAAAGAGAGGAGAGAGAGAAGAGAGAGGAGAGAGAGGAGAGAGAGAGAGAGAGAGAGAGAGAGAGAGAGAGAGAGAGAGAGAGAGAGAGAGAGAGAGAGAGAGAGAGAGAGAGAGATGTGGGCCTTAGCTGGCCCTTCATAATGCTCAGTGCAGTGATCTAAGACTAGAGCTGGTGAGCTCAGAATGGTCTAACACAGCCACTCCTGGAGCTGGGCCCTTCTCCACAGCAGCTCCTGTTTGTCAAGCCTGCAGAGTGAAGCCACAACACTGTCCCTACCCACTGAAACAAATTCTCAATGTCTTACTGTCTGTCCTGCTGGGCTTGGGGCTGTGCCCTGGTGTCATTCCTACTTCATACCCCAGGTGGTCCTCACCTTTGACTTGGAGCCACACCCTGTCATTGTCATGGGTCTCTTACTCATCACATTCACTGTCCAAAACCTGGGCTTTGGGGTGATGCGCCTACAAAAGGACCCAGGGGACCCTGGGACAGTCTTGAGCTTCCATGCCTACACCAAACAAGGCTGGGTGCTTCCTTGTCTCCTACCCATTTCTCACCCATCTTCCTTTGGACAGACAACCAAGGGGGACAAATACATCCACCCAGGGGGGCCACACACAGAGGCAGAGTCACCAGGGACTGCTGAAGCTCTTTATTGAGGGGGAGGGGGAAGAATAGGGATGAGAGAAGTCAGATGGCCTAGCAGGACACTCTTCCCATGTCCTGCAGAGGTTCTGGCGGGACTGCCCAGGGCTGCTTCGGAGCTTTCATTCCCCATGCTCTAGAAAGAAGAGAGAGAGTCTATGAGGTGAGGAGGCTAGAGCCAGTAAGGGGTTATGTGGGGGAAGGGATGGAGGGTGCTTTGGGGCAGCATCACAGGCCCTCAGAGATACAGGGCTAGCCTGTGCTGAATCAGGAATTTCTTCCTTCCGACTTCCCTCAGAAAAGCTCTGTGAGTGTAGTGGTTACCAGGTGAGGGTGTGACTGACAGGTGGGGGCCCTAAAGGATGTAGACATCGTGACTCCACCCTTCCTTAGGCAAGGTCTAGGACTTCCTGCTCCATTATCAAAGTGTCTTCATGCCACGCAGAGTAGGCGCATGGACACGGGGGAGGGGGCGTGAGCATCCTAGACTTAGAAAGAGATTAAGACGGACAAGGCATTGGCTGGGTGGGTGGCACCACACGTCCCACCACCAGCACATCCCACTGACGGGGTGAGGACAAAGAGGAAGCCTCTAATGACCTAGGAGCAAAGCAAAAGAAGCCCGGCGTGTTGGGACACAGAAACTGGGTAATCCCTACTGCAACTGAGGGCTTCCGGGTGGTTCTCGAGGCCCCGCTGAATCCCAAGGCTCTCGTCACCTTCAAGGGTCGCTTACCTTAGTGACTCTTTGCTTCACATTTTTCTGTAAAAAATGAAAAATAAAAGAAGAAAACCCAGAGATGAGAATGAGGCCTGGACAAGAGACCATCATATCTATGGCTCATAGTGTCCACACTGGGGACAGGGGACATAAGAGGGACAGAGTAGAGATAGAGAGGGAAGCATGGGTCCCATGTGTTCTCACCCATCTGCTCAGGTATGACCAGGCTCTCTGGTGAAAGTCCCTGTTTCTGTGTGAACTCCTTAAATTCTTCCAAGGCCTCCAGGTTTTCCTTCAGGTCCCTCCCTGTGGAAGGGATGGGTGAGCAGAGGGAGGTGTCCCCCACAGGTTTTCAAGGATTCGGTGCCACAGACAGGAGCACTGCCCGGCACCATAGGCTTCACCAAGGGCAGAAGAGGAGGTGTGGACTGTTGACACTGAGCTTGGGGGGCATCTGAGTGACCAAATGACCCTGGAACCAAAAGCCTTCTGGCCGGGGCCTGTAGCATCTTGAGCTTGACCTAAAAGGTTTCCATGTCCCAGAAGCACTGAGCTGAGAAGGTTCCTGTCAGGACACCAATGTCCTCACACAAACCATACCTGAAACCCCGCAGCCCAACAAAGCAGAACTGGCAGCCTCTGTCTGCGGTCAAGGGGTATAGCTGCTGCCTCTGTCCTGGATGGGCCCTGCTGGGCCTATAAGTCACTACAGCGAAATTCAGCGAGGTGGGTCCCGTCAGCCGGCAGCCTTGCACCCTGCTGTCACCGCCCATGAGAGGGAATGCTGCTCCTTTCATGTGTGGGGCCTGCTACCAGGGGATCGACTGCTCTGAAGAAGAGGAGCAGTGGGGCTAGGCATGGCTGTGGTAAGCTTGGGGAACTGGGAACTCACCCATGAGCTGGGTCGTTGTGAAGCTCATGCCCTCCACCTCCCCATAACAGTAGATCATCCAGTAGTCCTTCACAGAAGAGAGCTGCAGGTGCATGTGGCTCTTGCCCTCAACTGCGGAGGGGAAAAAAACAAGGTTGGCTCCACCCTGCAAACAGTCGCCTGGGTTTCTCTTCTGACTGCCGCCCCAGCCTCCAGTCATAGAGGCTCCAGTCATCAAAGTGTCCGGCCTGGCCTGAGTGCTGAGGACTCATCTGTGATGCCTCCTAGGGGTGGGACTTTCCAGGAAGCGCCCCCTCCCATGGGCTGCCATTGTCACCCATCCCTGGGCTGATGACACTCACAGGCACTGTAATGGCCAGGCACATCTGTTTTCTCCAAGATGGTGGTCACTTCAAAACACTGGCCGTATATCCTGGAATCAGAAACTATATGCAGTGGCCCTCTTGAACCCGACCCTCAGCTGGGCGGTGGTGGTGCATGCCTTTAACCTCAGCACTTGGGAGGCAGAGGCAGGCAGATGAGCTTGAGGCCAACCTGGTCTACAAAGTGAGTTCCAGGACAGCCAGGGCTACACAGAGAAAGCCTGCCTCAAAAAAACAAAAACAAAACTGACCCTCATGCTAACTGGGATCCACCCTCCTCATCCAGCCCCTGGAGTTCGTCTTTCCAAGTCAGAGGGATTTTTTTAAACTACCCATTGAGAAATGATGGACTAGGTAAGAGACCAACCACCACCCACGGGAGCCACAGACACTCACGCATGTGCCATAGAAAACTCCATATCGCCATTGTCCAGCACCAACACGAGTAGGGGGGAGACCTTCTCTATCGGGATCCCTTCTTTCATCACCAAGGCCCTCATGAACCACTTTCCAGAAAACTAAAAGATGAAATGTCCTCTTTGCCTGATGCCTGCCACCCTCCCTGCGGAATATATACCTTCCAACTACCAGTCATGCCTGACTAACCCATCCACCACCAAAACCTAGAAAGCCCACATGATGGACACCTGCTTCCTCCTAGGGTCCTAGGGCTGTCTTCCAGCACGTTTTCTGTCTCCAGCCCTGAGCCCAGGGAGTCCTGAACATGCACTGGGATTCCTTAACTCTGAACTGGTCTACCCCCTGGATCCAGAACCCAAGTCATCTTGTATTAGTAAAGCTGAGATGCCACCCTGCGCCCTGCCCTGACTCACATGCCTGCTATTCAAAGCAAGGGGCGAGGAGTCCTGGGCCTGCAGGGTGGCAACCAGGCAGAAGCTGATGGTCAGGAACAGAGTCTTCATCTCCAGGGTCTGCGTTCACAGTCAACAGGTCACTGGAGCTGGAAAGGCTCTCCCGGCCCCTCACTTGACCGCCCTTTATACAGCCCCACACAGGGTCCTTGGGGAACTTGGCACAAAGGACCAGGTCCTTCTGAGTTATGTCCACAGCCAGCTGGCAAGGGGAATGTCAGTGCTTATATAACAGATTGTTAAGACTTCAAGAGATCGACAGGCCATGGGCCATTCCAAAGTGTCAGCCACCGTTTGGAGTCCAAAGAAGCTGAGGGAGAATTAGGACCTGGGAGGAAATGCCACGTGACAAGCCTCCACACTGTCTGAAGTTCATGTGGACAGAATTAGAAGAGTCATATGTTTCTTCCCAATCCTCCTCAGAATCACCTTTGATCTGAGTCTAGAGGATTGCAAGGGCCAGCCAGTAGTTATTGGGGAGGTCAGAATGGGGAGACAGCAGATTTCAGACCCACCCCACCCTGTGTGCACCAACTCAGCTCCATGAGCCCTGAATCTGCTGTTCTGGGGGGAACTTTGCCCCTGCGTGTCCTGTAGGGTCCATCTTTTTTACTCAGGGCTCAGCCTGGTTATTGAGGTATCCTTCTAGATACACTCTCCATGCCCTCCCCTTCCGGCCATCTCTTCCCAGACCACTGGCAGGAGCGGCCTGGGGCTGCTGTAACTAAACCTCCAACCAGGTCTCCAGCACCTCACTTCTGCTCCCCTCAGAACAGAACTCCCCAGGGAGGCTGAGTGTGAAGACTGGGCCACATTGCCCCCAAAACTCTGGGTAGACTCCTTGGCTGACAGCTCCCCATGCCTCTGCCTGAGGTTTCCTTACCCACGTTCTGCCTGTCTTCACCTGGTCTTTTCTCCATCCCGAATGCCCCTCTGACTGCCTGTGACAAGGACTCTTGTCTGTGGATTTAGGCCACCCTAATACTTGATGACTTCATTTGCAATTCTTAATCACTACAGCAAGACCCCATTGTCCAAAAGAGTTCAGTCACGTGTCATTGAACCACACTGTCTTATAAGGCTGGCAGTCAGCCCTTCAGCACCTGGCCCTCTCTTGACAGTCTCCTTGTCCTTGCAGATTAGCAGAACTGGTAGAAGCTCTGAGAAGAGGAGACCAGGACAGAGTCACCACAGCACCCAGAATGGTTCCCTCTGGCTGCTCTCACCTAGTCCTGACCCTTCTAGTCGTACAATTCCCATGCCCAAGACTGTCCCTACTATCTGTGTCTTCAGCACAAATGAGCAAAAGCTTCAGACACCAAGCAAGCTTTAGGTGGCATTCACTGTGTGACCTCAAGAGCAGCCATGGAGGTCTTAGCTTGGCTGTCTATCCTGGGACCTCAGACTGACCCAGCAGGGATGCAGTGCCCTCCCAGGGGTGTCTTTGTGCCCCCTAGACCCAGGGCTTGCTCTTCATGTGCTCTCATTGACCAGGGGGGACAGAATACAAGGGGATAGCTTGACCTAGTCATTATCCTGTAGAAAGCTCAACTGAGCAGCCCCTGCCTGCCCTTCCAGGTAGGAAGGCACAGGGCCAGCACCTGTCAGACCAGGGACCAAGAGGCAGGTCCCAGCCTCTGAATGGAAGTCTCTGGCATCCCTTCTGTGTTGACCTTCTCCTGGTGGCAGACATGTACTCTGCCTACTGCCAGAACTTGAGAGTACAAGGTCTGAAAGCCCTTCATGGCTGTCTAATACTCATGAGCTCTAATACTCAAGGACATCTAGGGAACCAAGATGCACTTGTACTCATTGCTCAGTAAGGGTAGTGTAATGGAGGCTTGGGTTATGACCCAGCAGGTCACAGACAGATAGGCAATGTCTTAATGCTCTCCCTTGCACACACAGTGAAGGCAGGAGAACTGGAAAGGTATAGACAATTTTGTTCCCTACTAAGCCCATCCTTTAAAGTCCTGAAAGGAACCAGAATGGCAGCTTCTGGAACAAAAAGAAGATTCAGAGTGATGTGGGGCTGATGGCAGATTCCTGGTGGGTCTAGATTCCTCTCTTAGATGGTGGCCTTTGTGGGCTGCTCCTGGCCCAAGAAGAAAAAGCCAGGGTAGGTGGGGATCTCAGAGCCTTACCAGTTCTGTGGACCCCACACTGACTGGGGTAGACATGAGTGTCCCCTGCCATAGACCATCGTAGATCTGTCTTTTGCATGGATCAACACAACTACCTGGTCACTCTGAGTCTTAGTCAACTCCAGACTCAGATCTTTTAAACTGTATCAGGGATGGCATCTGAGATACTGACACGGATTAGAGGATGCTTGACGGGTGTCAAAAACTGCTAAATATTGTTTGAATCACTGTTAACTTTAATGGAAAATTACTAATATAAGCATTCATTCTGCTGTTAATTTTCCTGTGAAAGTGTCAGGGGTGGTGATTTGACTCCCTAATTGACAGCTGTTAAGACTCTCTCCTGACTACCTTGAACAAAGGACTTTCAATCAAGAAGCCAGTCCGACTTCCCTTATGCCAACCACAGATGTCTTGAGGAAACCACCTAACTATTGCAGCTACCTGTTGCTAAAGCGCAACTCTGGTTCCTGAAGGTGATGTCCCAACTATACCTGTTTGAAAGCAGTCGATGCCAGACTTCCCTCCAACCATCTCCACCCCAGCCAGAGGAAGAGCAGCTTTGCTGGTGACTGGTACAGAGGGACAGTACCCTACCTAGGACAAACACAAGCCTTCATGTGCATGGATGTTTGCGACGATGGGTACAACACCCTTTCTCTAGATATACTGGCTGATTGTTGAGCTCCCTTGGTGAGCTAAGAAGACTCACGCTGTGCCTGCTGTCTTATGTTTCAACATTAAGTCCAATAAAAGACTTCTTGAGGGGTTGGCAGGATGACTCAGAGGGTAAAGGCATTGGCGTCAGATCTGGAGACCATGGGAGGCACAAGGGATTTAAGAGCTGACTTAAGTCCTCTCCCCTCCACACAGCACAGGCACACACCCCTGTGTGCTAACTAGAACATAATACAGAATGAGTCAGGCATGAAGAGAGGTGGGGCGATGTCTGGTGTGGTAAAGGACGAAGACCTGAGGTGAGTTCTCAGCACCCAAGTAAGAACAAGGCATAGTGTCCCAGGTGACAAGTATCTGTAATCCCTGTAATCCCAACAATGGCAAAGAGAGAGGCAGCCCTGGAGAGCACTGATCAGCTAACATAGTCTACTTAGAAAGTCCCAGGCCAGTGACAGAGCTTGTCTCAAACAAAAGATGGAGGGAACCTATGGAATGACACCCAAGTCTGTCCTCTGCTTCCCCCACAAAGACATACACACACACACACACACACACACTCAGACACACACACACTTGGCAGATAGACATATACACTCATACAAAGAAAGAAACACACTCACAAATACACATGCACAGACAGACACACATACCCAGACACAGACTCACACACACACACGCACACACACACACTCACAGGCACACATATATACACTCACACAGAGACACACACACACACAAATAAATAAATAAAAGGAGACTATTTAGGTGGTGCGTTCCTGCCTACCCTTGCTACCCCTCACTAGTAGATGAGCTGGAGAAGAAAGGAGGGGCCAGCAGCTTTGACAGTGACACTGGCTGAAGAGTCACAACAGTGGAGAGGCAGGGAAGACAGGAACTGGAGAAGGCAGCCTCACTCAGGACATTCATGATGACAGCAGGGGCCAAGCCAAAGACAGCAGGGCTGCTGCCACCTCAGGTGGTAACTGTGGCAGTGGTCATCTAAACAAGAAACGGCAGGCAGGTTCTGGTAATGGCCAGGGCAGAACCAAGATAGATGGCCGAAGGAAATAGATGGGACAGGAGAGAACTTAGAGAAAAGAAACTGAAGACACTGGGTGCAAGAAGAATTCTGAGAATAGCCAGGCTTTAAAGGCCAAGGGTCTCAGGTACCCGGGTCTGTAACGTTCACCACTGTCAATAGATGGGGAGTCCCACCTTTCTGGACCTACACATGGATAAGGGTCCCAGCAGCCAAGGCAGCATGAGAGCTATAGAACTGGACAGTGCCACTTGCTCTGGTCCCAGCCATCTGCCCCTTCCACGCATCGCTATCTGCAGCTGAGAAGTGTAAAAGTTGCCCAAGATCTAACTTCTATCTATAAGCGAAAGAACCTCCAGCCAGGTGACTGGTAACATCACCAGACCCAGGGACAACCTAAGCAATACCAATCTCAAGGAGGACTCTTGGATACCCAGAAGTCAGACACAGAGATTGGGACTACAGAACTAAGAAAGCGAAAGGGTGTGATTCACACAAACATAGCCTGCCAGTCTGTGGCCTGGAGATGATCTCAGCATCCCCTTGTTCTAGTAGGATGCAGTAGTCTGCTGCCAGGGTTCTCAGGATCCTATGATCTCAGCTCTCTGCAGGCCCCTCTGGGATGAAGGTTTCCTGAATTGAATCTTCTAAATGATGGCTGTAGTTTGCCCATGGGACTGGTTTCCTCTTGCTGTGAAAAGACCATCTGCAATGCAGTGGACACAGAAGCCACACAGAGACGTCATCTCAGCCTCCTGCTGACACACACAGCCATCTTCCTCATAGCTATGAGTTGTGTTATAGTCTGCCATTGTACTTTTAGAATATAAAATAAGTTGGCATTGTGTATGAATAATAATTATGGCTGAAAAGCCCAACATTTGTGGAGAAGTCCCACAGTGACTCTGTGATATTGGTGATATGGGTAGTTTAATATTTTCAGTGTCATACTAACCTTGCATTGCAGTTATAAACACATCTACCTACAATGCTTTCTTTCTTTCTTTCTGTTTTTTTTTAAGACAGGGTTTCTCTGTGTAGCTCTGGTTGTCCTAGAACTCAATCTGTAGAGCAGGCTGACCACGAACTCACAGACATCTGTCTGCCTCTGCCTCCCTGAATGCTGGGGTTAAAGGCATGCACCACCATTATCCTGCTAAAAATAAGTGATGCCCTTCTTTATTTTTTATTTTTTCTAACTAGGATTTCTCTGTGTAGCCCTGGGTGTCCTGGAACTCACTCTGTAGACCAGGCTGGCTTCAAACTCAGAGATCCACTTGACTCTGCCTCCCGAGTACTAGGCTTACAGGCGTGAGCCACTGCCTCCCAGCTCAATGTTTTCTTTCTTTCTTTTCTTTTTTGAGAGAGCTCCAACGCAGTCCCCCACTACCACAAATTATGCAGTTGAATTTCCCACATTTGGGGAAATCTCAGGATTCAGCACATCTGTACTGCAGTGGATAAGTCTCACCCAGGGAAAACCAGCTTTGAGATCATGGTATCTCTCCTGCCAGGTAAGTATGTTTCTTTTTTTCAAGAAAGATTTATGTTATTTGCAATTATGTGTGCATCTGTGTGGAAGTATGTGCATGTGTGGAGGTCCTCAGAGACCAGAGGAGAGCATCAAATCCCTTGGATCTAGAGTTACCTGCGGTTGTGGGAGGTAGGAATTGAACTCAGGTCCTCAGGAGAAGCAGTACAGGCTCTTGACCACTGAGTCCACTTTCCAGTCCACTTCAACATTTTCTGCACGTGACATACTGAGACTTTAGTTGTGCTCAGATTTTATGGAGTATTTTGTGTCTAAATCACAGTGAAAATGATCTTGAAGATTGTTAATGCCACTAATGAGTTCGCAGGATTTCTTTTCGGGTTATTCAGACCTCATTGAAGAGTAAAACAAGGCATTACTTTTCAACTATGAAAGCCTTAGTATAATCTCTTCCCTAGTTGAGTTTACTAGAGAACTTACTTGCTGTGAAGCTTTTCAATAAACGTGTTTTGTTTTGTTAAGACAGGGTCTCACCATACAGCTCAGGCTGGCCTTGAACTTGTGGTGACAGTCCTGCCTCAGCCTCCCAAGTGCAGGCACTACAGGCAGTAGCCATGATGCCTGGCTATACTCTATTATACAGGGCCATGGAGACACTGCTCTCCTCCCTGTGTCAACACTGGTTCTTCTAAGGAGTCTACGCATCTGCTGTAGGTTGTCAGATTAGTTTCATAAGGCTGATCACAACCTTGTCTCATTCTGTTAGCATGTAATGCCATGCTAGTAATGGAACGATACCTTCCTTTTTAATTACTGATGCCACTATTTGTAATTTCCTTGTCCTTGGTCAGCTTGGCTACAGTTCAATACTGTTCAGTGGTGTCAATACTCCATTCCTCTTTCATTATCAGCTGTATATTTGCTCCACTTTCTTCTCACATCTTGCATGTAATGTTTTAAAGGTAGCGTGACATGGAACGTGAGAATGTAGATTTCGAGTCTGTCTTCTTTTCTGCTGCAGTCTTCACAGCCTCAAGTCTCCACGTCAGCCCTGACAGCTGCACCGCACAAAGTTTCCTGTGCTGGACTGAAAAATCCACAGGGCTGACATCATCTCTGCCACCCAACAGTTGGGCTGGTTCTGCTCATAGGTGAATCGCATAGATCGACTCTTCACTGTCAAACCAACCTTGCATTCTGGGGATAACCTCACTCCCACCACAAGTTCCCATTCCACTCCCAAATCCCCCTCCTGCTTTCCCCCTCACGGTCCCCTCATCCCTGTCCCATAGCATCTGGATCCAAAGATCTCTGGAATATTACAGATAAAACCCCACTGCGTGTGACCTCTCTGGACTGGGAGGTTTAATTCAGTGTGATGCCCTTGAGAGTAATTCGCATGCCGTCTCTGCCAGCACACTGGTTCTTTTCAGTGCAGGCTAGTACTTCACTGTGTGTGCACACCACAGTTTGCCCGTCATTTCTCCTTCTAAGTCACTATAAAGTAAACTTACCTATAAGCTTCAGTCTGAGCCTATGTGTGCATATTTCCAAGTATACCTGAGAGAAATTGCTAGACCATATGCAAAGTATGTATGTCAACGTAAGGACTTGAAAACTGTTTTCCAAAATACATGTACACCCTGACGTGTTCCCCCAGCAGGGCGCATGAGTTGCTGCTATCTAACAGTGCATGGCTGTTGTCTTGGGCATGTGGCTTCTGCATCTCCCTGGTACCTGGGACATTCCCATGTGCTGTGAGCTTGGCTGCCACCCACACATTTTCCTCCTCCATGTCTGTCCAAGTACTTGGTTCAAGTTCACCGGGTGGTTTGCTTTCCCGATGTTAAGGATTGAGGTTTCCTCACTGACACCAGTGTTGTTCCTGTAATTTGAAATGCTTTTTCAATGCTGAGATTGTTTTTCTGTTCAGCTGACTGTGTCCTACATAACTGGACTCTCTGTGCGGAAGTCAACCCACTAATTTCCCATTACAGGATTATTCCTTGCTGGCAGATCCCAGAACTGCCTTGCCACCCAGGTCATGACAATCATTTCTTTGTTTTCATCTCGTTGCTTTGAGATCAGCAGGAAGCTGAGGACTGCAATCCTGTCAGAGCTGACTCTGTGAGGAACGCCCAGGTCCTCGTCAAGGTCTGCTGATCTGTCTGTTGTTGGCAGTTGATCTGGTGCCATGGGTCTGGAGGGTGATCTTGTCTCTGGAGAATGTTTTTGTTCCTTTGTCAGAAACTAAGCTGCATTTGATAAATGGTATTTCAATGAGAGAGGTAGCATTGTGAGCAACTGGGACTGTGTCATTTCATGTTATCTCAGGGGAGGAGGGAGGGCCAGACCCATTATCTCGTCACCTCCTTGAACACAGGAGAGGACAACTAGAAAGGAGAAAGGAGTTATTTTGGCTCCTTGGTTTCAGAGTTCCTGCCCGTGACTCTTTGGTCTCATAGCTGAAGGCCTGTGGTGAGTCGGTGCATCATGGCAGAGATTAGGTGGAACAGCTGCCCATCTCATGGTGTCAAGGAAGCAGAGACAAGCAGCCTGGATGAGATTCAGTTGAAGGAATTGCTCTCAATGACTAATTTCTACCAGCCTGGCCTTGGTTAGCAGAGCCTCCCAAAACAGGGCCTCCAGCTGAGACTAATCCTTCAACACCCTCACCTGTGGGGGAGCCTTCAGACCATCCATGGCAGTGTGGCTATCAACCTCACACCTGCTCTTCAAGGCTGTGTGTGGGTCTGAGAAACATAAAAGGGAGGTGCAGGCACTTGGCCAGATGTGTCAGCGTGTCAGGAAGTGTCTATCACAGCTTCAGGGGACTGTGTGAGTTGGCTGTCAGCACTGTCAGCCACAGCCTACCAGGGGCACTGACTCATCCTTCAAAATGAGTTCACAACTGGGCTTTCAGGATGTCCCAGACACAGTCTCTGAAAAGATTTACCAGACAGTCATGGGGACAAGTGGCTGCTTTGTCTTCTTTGTTGATGTTCTCCTGTCTCATGCTTTCTAGAGGAGCCTCAGCTATAGCCTCCTGCCTTGCTGCTGTGGTGGGAGCCATCTCCTTACATGTAAACACCATGTGAAGCCCAGACACTGGCTCTCCAGTGAGGATCTAGAATGAGCAGCACCATGAAGCTTGGACGTCACTGAGAGTCTGAGGCAAGCGAGGAGAGGCAGGTGACCAGAGCAGCAGCCCCACAGAAACTGCCACCAGAAAGCAATGGAGCACCCGAGGGGAATACTTCAGGCCATGCGGCATTGGGGATGGGAAGCTCTTCTGTCTTGCTTTACCATCTCCCAGTGATGGCCCTGCATGTGTACTGCTGTGTCCTGGGAGCATCTGCCCTCAGTAGAGTATAACCAGAATCTGTCCACAATGGGCTGCCCCATGTGCTGTCCTACCTAGAGTTGAGTACTATGTGCCATACATATTACATCCACCTAGCATAGCAGCTATTATCTTCATCAGAGAAACCTTAGCTTCTTGCAAGAGACTCTCAACATCTGGCCTGTTGACTGTTAATGTTTACTCATAGAAGGAGGTGTTGGGAGAGTTATTAGATCCTGACCTGGGATTCCAGTCATTCTCTCCTGTACCTCCCATCCCCTTACAGGTAATTCTGACCTAATATCACGTGGTGTCCTGATCTCAGGAGGTGATAGAGTATACAGACTTGAAAGGTTTATTTGAAGAAAGGATGGAATGTAGGAATGCTTTAAGTTCACATATGCTCTCCCTCAACTGAAGAGGGGATAGAGAAAATGTGGTACATTTACACAATGGAGTACTAGACAATAGAAAAAAACAATGGAATCCTGAAATTTGCAGGCAAATGGATGGTACTAGAAGAAACCATCCTGAATGAGGTAACCCAGTCACAAAAAGACAAACATGGTATGTAATCTCTCATATATGGATTTTAGACATAGATCTGGGGAGTGCCAGCCTACAATCCCATGGCCAGAGTCTGGGAAACAGAACCTTCATTCAATGGCTGATGGAAGAAGAAGCAGACTCCCATGGCTAAGCACTGAGCTGAACTCAAGGAACCCAGTGACAGAGAGGGAGGACTGATGACCAAAGGGATTAAGACTGGGCTGGTTTACCCCCCAGAAACAGCTGACCTGAGAAGAGTTAGCTCTTGAATCCCAGACTGATGGCTGGGAATCCAGCATGGGACTGATCAAAACCTCCTGAATGTGGGTGTCAGTGAGGAGGCCTAGGCAATCTACTAGGAACTGGGTAGTAGATCAGTATTTATTCCTGGCATACAAATGAATTTTGGGTGCCCATTCCACAATGAGGGATGCTCTCTCAGCCTGGACTTTTGGGGAAGGGTCTAAGCCCTGCCCTGGATAAAATGACAGACTATGGACACCCCCCCATGGAGGGCCTCATCCTCCCTGGGGAAATGAGGAGGTATTGGGGGGGTTGGTGGGAGGGCATGGGAGGAGGGGAGGGAAATGGAGAGGGACCTGGGATTGACATGTGAAGCAACCTTGTTTCTAATTTAAATTTAAAAATGAAAATTAATAAAAATTAAAAAATAAACATTCATAGATAAAAAAGAAGAAGAAGAATCGCACCTGCTCTGTAAATAAGGCCAATAAGCTCATCTCTTTTCCAAGATAGAAATTGGCAGAGTCATAGTTTGGTTTGTCACTGGTACACATTTGACGGGAGAGATATTTGCTAATGTCTCCCCGGGAAAATGTTCATGCATCACACCTGTTCCCGTTAGTGTCTGTTGCCACGTTAACGAGACTACTACCTGCCAACAGTGGGAGAATTCAGACACTGGGACGTAAGCAAGTGAGGCAGACAGTGGCAGCATCTGGAGGTTTCACTGGTACTCAGAGCACCGCTGCTGACCCGGGCTCTGCCAGTCGTACTCAGAGCACCGCTGCTGACCCGGGCTCTGCCAGTCGTACTCAGAGCACCGCTGCTGACCCGGGCTCTGCCAGTCATACTCAGAGCACCGCTGCTGACCTGGGCTCTGCCAGTCATGCATGTGTTGCTCCCCTGCTGTCTCAAGGATGGAAACACATGTACCTATGTGGAAAGGCAATCAGATAAATGATTCCTACATGAAAGAAGAAGAAAGCATGTCAGGCAAGCGAGGACTCTCCAATGGTAGGGAAATGCTAGCCTGCTCCCTGACCTGTGGTCTCTAAGAACACAGGGACCCACCCACTCTCACCCAGCTGGTGGCTGCTTCCAGCTCAGCAGCAACTTCCATGGTGGGGGACAATGACAGGTTCATGCTGCTGCCTTCACACAACCCCAGAAACCATCAGAGGAAGTTCATTAATACTATGTATAGACCTTTGGAGCTGCCTAATCTTGGTCCAGAAAGCACAAAGTTGTTATAGTGGGCCTAGAACTTTTCTTTAGGGACTATATCAGTTGGGTGTCAGGGAGGGTGGCCGAACCCAGGAGATGCAGGGTCAGGAGTATAAACCAAAATTCCTGCTGATGAGGTAGCTGAACTGATGTCCAGACAGACAGACAGAGAGAGACAGAGAGAGAGAGAGAGAGAGAGAGAGAGAGAGAGAGAGAGAGAGAGAGAGAGAGAGAGAGAGAGAGAGAGAGAGAGAGAGAGAGAGAGAGAGAGAGAGAGCAACCATAATGAAATCTGAACATGTCTGGTGCTGTGTGAGTTTCTTTACCCAAAGGGAATGAGAGAATGAGAATGAGATCTGGCCATGTGGAGAGCCTGCGGGTGCTCAGAGCTAATGAGAAGGAAGCTGTGGAATCCAGAGGAACCAAGTTCAGCAGGAGCACAGGGGTGGATTCAGGACAGGCTGCGATGGACGCTGGTTCTTCACCCAGGGCACAAGATGGCAAGAAATGAACACACGTGGACCTCAGTAGTACCAGGGCAGCCCTGACTCTGAAAATGTCCTCAATGACAAGAGCAGCAGAAGACCAAGTCCCCTTGTTGGAGACAAATCCCCTGAGGACACAGAGGTCAAACCCCCTTCACAGATCACTTCAGGATCTGTGTGGCTGGAAATGTTCACGCAGCCAACTTAAAATTGTGAAGTTTGGAAACTGAACCCTAACTGGTTGAGGAGATGGGCACTGGTCAGTTAGTGAAAAAGAACCAGACATCTGAGAGTAAGAAGTGGTCTGTAGAGAGCACAGCTGGCCCCGGTGCAGAATGACGTGGGGCAGGGTCATGGTGAGCCTAGTGTGGCACGGGGTCTACCCTGATGATGTTTAAGCTGACTAGAGTCAGGGGTTTGTGTCCCCACTCACAGGAAGGTCCAGGTGGGGTACCCACGCAGGGATAGGACAATGAAGTGGGCTCCCTCCAGGCAGGGCCCAGCCATCTGGGAACCAGCAGACAGTCTCTGGGGGTGAAGCCCAGCCCTGCTCTCAGCAGCGGGAGGTCAGAGGCCAGGTCTCAGGGGATGTATCTCAGGGCAGCCATGGCAGATGGAGGGCCAGGGTGTGGAGAGAAACCTGACCCTCCCTCCCTGCTCAAAGTGTAACCTCCCTGCACCTGAGTCACTCACCTTCTGCAGGGTCATTTGGGAGCACAACCCTTGGTGGCACAGACATTGCAGGGCATTGTGTAGGTGACATTGAGTTGATATTCATCAGATCCCAACAACAACAACAACCTTCCACCTCCATGATGGATGCGGATTTGGCCATGGTAGAAGGACAGGAGGTACGTGGCCAGTGCCAAATGGGCACACATCCCTGGCCATTGGGGATATAAAGTGCACTCTCTGAGGAGCCAAAGAAGACTTTCTCTAGGTGACCTGACTTGTGTCAGAGCCTAGCAACAGAAAAATGAAGAACCTTCTCCTAAGCGTCTTGCTTCTGGGGCTGGTGGCTGTACTGAGGGCCCATGAAGTTTCATCCGATTATCAGGAGGAGGTGAGGAAGGGGGGACAATAGGTAGAGATAGGAAAGCTCAACTCTGGTCGGTGATGGCAGAGTTCTTCAAGTGGTGTCTTGAAGACTGAAGTCCATCCTTGCACCATAGCACGAGATGGTCAGATTAGGATCTCCACTATTTACCAGACGAGAGAGGCTCTCCATGGGTGGAACAGGGCAGTGGGTTTTAGGCATGGGTCTTTGTTGATGAGACACCGGTCCCAGAAGGCTCCATTGGGTGGAATCTTCTGGACAGAGGCCTTGCCCAGTGCTGAATTCCTGGCCTCTAAGAGTGTGTACTTACAAGGCAGACAGAGCCCAAATATTGGGTTCTCTCTACAGTGGACATGTGTGGGGATGTGGGGTGTCAGCCCTCTTCAGAGCTGCAGCCCTGGCCGCAGGATCAGATATTGGAGTCTTGGGAGAATAAGAGTCAGGATGGTGTGTGTTCAGGCTCTGTGTTCTGCAGCTTTCTGGACGCTGGTACATAAAGGCCATGGTATGTGACAATAACCGCACAGAGTGGAAGGGCCCCATGAAAGTGTTCCCCATGGTGATTACAGCTCTGGAAGGAGGGGACTTGGAGGTGGAGATAACATTCTGGTGAGTGTCCCCACCAGGTCTCGGTGGTTGTCTTTCTGTTTTCTCCATTCTCATTTTGGTGTGGGTATTGGAATGCCCCTGCCCTGAGGGCAACACGATGCCAGGCGGTACTCTAAGCCTTGGGCAGGGCTGATGTGAAATTCTGGGGTCACCTGGTCAGGACTGATTCACCTGGTGAGCTGAGCATGGCTTCCTGCTCACAGGAAGAAGAACCAGTGTCACAGGAAGAAAATTGTGATGCACAAAACGGATGAGCCCGGCAAATACACTACCTGTGAGTGCCCTGTGGGCCAGGGACGTGCAGGGGTGAGTGCCCTGTGGGCCAGGGACGTGCAGGGGTGAGTCCCTGCATAGAGGGGCCCTGCCTTGTTCAGCTCCCAGTATGCTCGCCCACTCACATTCCATGAGCTACACGTGGAGGTCACAGGTTAGTCCATCCCAGGCTCTGGCTGATGTGTTCTGCCCCCCCTCGCCCTCCCCCCCTGCTAAGTGCAGGACAGGAAGTGCTCAGGCCTGGGGCCAACCTCAGCCCTCACCTGGACACTCAGGGGGACCTGGCAATGTCCTGGGAGATGGCTTCTGTCTGATGGTGGAGATCACAGAAAGACAAGAGCTGGACTGGCTGGGTCTCCTGGATGACCACAATTGTCAGAGAGCAATCCTTTTGACAAACCTCCAAAGGTTTTTCAAGAGTTGAAATGCTAAGAGACGATTTTCTGTTCATGTACAGTCAAGGGCAAGAAGGTCGTCTATGTTCAGGAGCTGACTGTGAAGAATCACTACATCTTGTACTGTGAAAGCCGGCACCATGGGAAGTCACATCGCAAGGGGAAACTCGTGGGTGAGGAGCCGCAGTCCTGGCCATGCCCTGACCAAGATCTCTGCTTCTTATAGCCATAAGCAGCGCAGTTAGAAGGGAACTGGGGAGCCTCGGGGTGCTACCCAGGCCGGATGTGACATCCAAAGTGGGTGAGCTGGGAGAAGACCTGGTTCATGTGACCTTGGAGGCCTGAGCCTCAGGAGGGATTCCCAGCTCTGGAGCCGGCAAATGCCATTTCTAGTTAGTCAATATGAAGGTGGCTAACTTAATAATAAGGGCCTTGATGTGTATGTAGTGTCTTCCATGGTCAGGGGACAGCCCTGTGCATCTGTGTCTTAGTTAGGGTTTCCTTTGTTGTAAAGCGACGCCATGACCAAGCAACTGTTATAAAGGAAGACATTTGACTGGTGGCTTACAGTTCAGAGGTTCAGTCCATTGTCGTCATGGTGGGATGTGGCTGCGGGAAGGACATTGTGCTGGAGAAGCAGCTGCAAGTCCTTCATCTTGACTTGCAGGCAACAGGAAGTCGTTTGCCACAGTGGGCGTGCTTTGAACATATATGAGACCACAAAGCCCGCCCCATGAGACACTTTTCCTCCAGCAAGACCACACCTATCTGGCAAAACCTCTCCTCCTAATGGTGCCGCTCCCTATGAGCTTATAGGGGCCAATTTCAAACTTCCCCACTCTGAGATCCAGGGCTTTTACTGGTCTGGGAAGTGACCCTGAAAGTCTCTTAATGATCACACAGGGTCCCCAGTATCACTAGGTGCCTGGGGTCCTCATCCCAGAGCTGTTTACCCATCGTCCTCTTCCCTCTCACCCTGACTGCTCTCAGCTGACAGCCACAGTGCTGGTCAGTGTTCTTGGCCTTCGTCACTGGGCCCCTGCGGAGCTCGGCATCACTGCTGCCTGCTCACCTGGCCCTCTCCCCACAGGGAGAGACCCTGAGGAAAACCCAGAGGCCATGCAAGAATTCAAGAAATTCACCCAGTTCAAGGGATTACGACAGGAAAACATCCTCGTGCCTGAGCAGAGTGGTGAGAATGGGACTGCGCATGCCCTCTCCCCGCCCCATCCCGTCTCTCCTCTAAGTCTTCCTGAGAGCTCGCTGGCACCGTTCTTCCTCGTCTGCACTGTCCATCCATCTCTGCACGGCCCTGTGTGCCTCTGGGTACCCTGTGCGTCACTCTGTTACTCATGCACTGTTGGCTTCCCACAATCCCCACTGCCCCTCATTAGGGCTCCAGAGCCCGGTTTCACGTCTTGGCTGTGGAGAGGTCTGAGATGTAGGTTTGCTGGATCCTCATCCTGAACTCCTCCTCACCCCTGGTCTTTTCTTGGTTTCTACAGATAAATGCATCCCTGAGAGTAACTAGGGTAAGTGGCCTTCTGGGAGCACCATGGAAAAGTCTAGAGTCCTGGGTTGTGGCGGTGGAGGGTCCATGTGCTTTGACCCTTGTCTCATCCACTTGAGCAGAAATGGAGTACTGGAGAGGTGATTCCTGGAATAATCCCTAGACTCTGCTCTATACACAGTCATATCTCCCTACCTCCCCTGCCCAGAGACACTTCACAGGTCATAGGTATGAGATAGGATCACTCTCACGGCTGTGGCTGTGGAACAATGACCACACACACGTATGAAGACCTCTGGCAAGCCCCTGCCACTCACCTGTGTTCTCTTTGGCACAGCAGCCAATCATGGATGCACTTGCTGGTTCTGCCCTAACACCAGCCCAGTTCACAGCTCTGGGACATCCTTGGACCTCTCCTCCCCTGGACCACTTCTCCCACCTTCGCTCCTGGATTTACCTCCTATTTCAGCTCCACCCATCCCCAACACTAATTGACTCCTAATAAAGCATTTCAGCATCATTCTGGCTCAGCCTGTCTGTAAAGGGCCTTTCATTGGCTCCCTAAATGCTTTGTGGGTGTTGGGGAAGATTTTGGGCTCAGCAAAAGCAGTTCCCGAAGAGCATGAACTATATTTAAGTCAGGGTTCTCTAGAGAATCTCTAGAATGAATCTATATAGACACAAACAGGACCAACTCTTCTATCAACTGCTGTTTCCTGATGGAAAATCCAATGATCTAGTAGTTCAGTCCATGTGGCTGGATGTCTCAACTAGTCTTCAGTACATGCCAGAGTCCTGAAAAGAAAACTCTAATATCAGTGAAGAAATTACGTTGCTGGCAAGGGCAAGCACTCCCTCCTTCCATGTCCTTTATGTAGGCTTCCACCATAATGTGTGACCCAGAAATAAGGAGAATTATCCCACATCAAAAGCTCTGGAATGAGGCTGGGTCTTCCCACCTCAAATAATTCAATTCTGAAAATCCCTCACGGGTGTGTTCAGTTGGGTTTGGTAGTTGAGTTAACCAGCAATAGCTGTCACATCCATCCTGTAGGGACGTTCTCAAGGCCCAACTGATCAGTCATTGGCTCACATGGCTTGTTTCATGTGAACTAATGAAGTCTCACATCTTTTTTATTTTTAAATTTAAATTAGAAACAAGGCTGCTTCACAAGTCAATTCCAGGTCCCTCTCCCTTTCCCTCCCCTCCTCCCGTGCCCTCCCACCAACCCCCCCAATATCCCCTCATTTCCCCAGGGAGGGTGAGGCCCTCCATGGGGGTGTCCATAGTCTGTCATTTCATCCAGGGCAGGGCCTAGACCCTCCCCCAAGACTCCAAGGTAAGAGTACCTCTCTTATTGTTGGATGGGAGCCCAAAGTCCATCTGTATACCCGGGATGAATACTGATCTACTATCCAAGGCTCAATATATTGCCTAGGCTTCCTCACTGACACCCACATTCAGGAGGTCTGTGATCAGTCCCATGCTGGATTCCCAGACATTAGTCTGGGATTCAAGAGCTAACCCTTGTCAGGTCAGCTGTTTCTGGGGGTTAAACCAGCACAGTCTTAACCCCTTTGGTCATCAGTCCTCCCTCTCTGTAATCCCACATCTGACAGGGCTGATCTCAAAAATTTACAAAGAACTCAAGAAGCAAGTCTCCAAAACACCAAAGGATCCAATTAAAAAGTGGGGTACAGAACTAAATAGAGAATTCTCAACAGAGGAGTCTAAAATGGCTGAGAGGCACTTGAGAAAGTGCTCAACATCCTTAGCCATCTGGGAAATGCAAATCAAAACAACTCTGAGATACCATCTTACTCCTGTCAGAATGGCTAAAATCAAAAACACCAATGACAGTTTATGCTGGAGAGGATGTGGTGAAAAGGGAACACTCCTCCACTGCTGGTGGGAATGCCAACTTGTACAGCCACTTTGGAAATCAGTATGGAGATTCCTCAGAAAAATGGGAATAAACCTACCACAAGACCCAGCAACTCCACTCTTAAGTGTATATCTAAAAGATGCCCATTCACACAAGAAGGATGTCTGTTCCACTATGTTCACAGCAGCTTTATTTGTAATAGCCAGAACCTGGAAGCAACCTAGATGCCCCTCACCCGAAGAGTGAATAGAGAAAATGTGGTACATTTACACCATAGAGTACTAGTCAGCAGAAAAAACAATGGAATCCTGAAATTTGCAGGCAAATGGATGGCACTAGAAGAAACCATCCTGAGTGAGGTAACCCAGTCACAAAAAAGAGAAACATGGCATGTACTCTCTCATATTTGGATTTTAGACATAGATTTGGAGAGTGCCAGCCTACAATCCCATGGCCAGAGAGTCTGGGAAACAAAACCTTCATCCAGTGGCTGATGGAAGCAGAGGCAGACTCCCACAGCTAAGCACTGAGCTGAACTCAAGCCAGTGAAGTCTCACATCTTTATTGCTTCTAGGTCTATCGGTCCCTCTGTGTAGCATGAACAATAAAAACCTAGAGAGATATTTTGGTTCAAGCAGAAGATCAGAAAAGCATAGAAGCCAACCCATAGCTCTTACCTCTACCAAGGTTAAAATGAGCTCCTGTCTTCCCTGCGAAGGGAAACTGAATCTCACACGAGACCCTTTGCTTCTTCCTTATATACCTGCTGCTCTTTTAGACTGATTCACACTTATGTAGCCCAGGGTGGTCTTGGACTCACATAGATTCATATGCTTCTGTCTCCTGAGTCCTGGGATTAAAGGTATGTAAGACCACTGCCCATCTTAAGTGTCTAACTAGTGTGGCTGGATTTGCATTCTTATCATCAGTGGCTTTAACAGATCATAAGCAATATATCATCACAACTCTGTGCTTATTTTATGAAATTTTGTACACAAATATTTGCATCTTCTTTTAAAAGCTTTTAGTTTATATGTTTGCGTGTTTGCCTCCTGTACGTATGTGTGGTGCCCATGGAGGCCAGAAGAGAGCATTGGATCCTCAGAGCTAGAGTCACAGATGATCACAAACCGTCATGCTGGTTCTGGGAACCTAACCAGGGTCTTCACTGAGCCATCTCTCCTACCTCTTGTTGCATCCTCTTGGTGGATTGCTCCTGTTATTAAAATGTAGTGGCCTTGCTTATCTTTTCTTACTAATTTTGACTTGAAACTTACTTTGTCAGAATGAGGAGAAACACTTCCTTGTTTGGTTTTGCCTTCTATGTGTGTATGTTTTTATTTTTATCCTTTCATCTTCAGCCTGTGTGTATCTTTGTCAGTGAGACATTGAAAGGTGATTCTAATTAGTCTTATCAATAAAAAATCAGGAGTTAGATTTCTGGGTAAAAGCTGAAAGATCAGAAAAGTAGAATAGAAACTACCAGAGACTTCTTACCTCTCTGAATTCTTTGACGAAAGGCCAAGATCCTGTCTCTGCTGTGACTTATCATTTCTTGTCTGTCCTGTCTGTACAGACCTCCAGACCTCTATGGTTAACTAGTGACTAGCTCCACTTTCTGATCTTCAGGAAAACTTTATTTGTCAAAACACAAACAAAATATCACACAGAACTTCCCACTTGTGGTCTGAATAAAAGGTGAAGGTTTTCACTAACATAGAAAAACTATATATAATAAATATAATAACTATATACAAATATATAATGGTAAGTACACTAACAAAGTCTAGCCCATTAACATTTGACAAATTCAGAGAAAATACTCCATTATCTATCCTATCTTGTTCAGTCCAAAATGTTGTACCTAATTCACTTTCTATCCTAACTTGTATTACTAACACAAACCTAACCTATCTTTTGATGTATTTCAACTTTATACACTTTACACATTTTTAGTGAGTTTCTTTTCTGAATTACTTAACAAGGAAAATTATAACTATAACTATCTAATCTTCAACTCCATCAAGTACCTGAGAAGGAAATAATATTACCTGAGTAAGCAAGAAGTACAGGCAGGCGATTTCCAAAAATTTTAGAAATGACAGAAACAGCTGGCTGCCTGGATAGTCACCCAAGGTTTCTCTGAAACATTGGGGGCACCCAACTTCCACCCGAAGGCCTAGAGTATCTGACAGATTTTTCTGTGAAGCAAGATATTCTGAAGGACCGTCCTACCTTGTCTTGGCAAAGTTTGGCAACCCTTTCCTTTGTGTCCTGCTTGCCTGATTTGGGCAGTATACTGTCATCAGTTGAGGCAAAGGGCAGTTTCTTGCATAGTGGCTAACTTTTGCCACAAAGAAAATAAACTCCACATGGAGTTACTTCAATGCCCATCATCTTGTCTGTAGTACATTGGTGCTGTCAGGAGCAGACATGTCTCATTGTCGTAAGGAAAAAGAACCTTATGTCATTAAAACATCTTAAATACCATATTCTACAGATCTCTGAAGTGTTTGAAGATCACCTGTCTACCTAAAATATATCTCTGCTTGACCTTAAAAACATACCTAGTATGACAAATTTGTTTGTAATAGGTGACTATGCAAATCCGCATTCTTATATTATCCTAAATAGTTTGTAATACAATTTTCAAGTACTAGAAATTTGCATTACATTGTTAAATGAGATGTATATGTACAAAACCTTGAACAAGATTAGAAATATATTACAGTATGTTCTAACCAAAATAACCATGATTTTGCGTCAATATACAAAAATCCATATCAAAGTAAAATACTTAAAACTAGTAGTTGCGAGCCGGGCGTTGGTGGCGCACGCCTTTAATCCCAGCACTCGGGAGGCAGAGGCAGGCGGATCTCTGTAAGTTCGAGACCAGTCTGGACTACCAAGCGAGTTCCAGGACAGCCTCCAAAGCCACAGAGAAACCCTGTCTCGAAAAACCAAAAAAAAAAAAAAAAAAAAAAAAAAAAAGCAAAACAAAACAAAAAAAAAAACTAGTATTTGCTTTTTTGGTTTAAAAGTAGAGTCAATAGTCTACCTGTTTTTGTTTTTGTTTTTTGTTTTTTGGCTTTTTGAGATGGGGTTTCTCTGCATTGTTTCAGAGGCTGTCCTGGAACTCGCTCTGTAGACCAGGCTGGCCTCGAACTCACAGAGATCCACCTGCCTCTGCCTCCCGAGTGCTGGGATTAAAGGCGTGCGCCACCATCATTTCTATAACACATATACTGTATAGCAAAAATAACCTCAATTGTTTATCAATATACAAAAATCTACACCAGTGTAAAATATTTAGGACCAGTGATTGCTTTTTTGGTTTAAAAGTAGATTCAATAATCTACCCTTTTATCCCATCGTAGCTATATCCTCTTTATTTTTTATAAGAACAAGATCCCTGAATCTAATCCCCTTTGTTTGGTCCCAAGTTCTGGCTAGAGTAGTCTGTGAAGCTGAACCATCTCAGCTAGCCATCTTGAATTGCTACATCTGAGCAGTTTGTAGTCCAAAACTGATCTTTGGGTGGTGTTTGTCAGCTTAGCAACATTACCTTAGTCCTGATGGAATCGTCATTGTGGGGACACATCCTCCATG